TGTCTCTCTCTCTCTCTCTCTCTCTCTCTCTCTCTCTCTCTCTCTCTCTCTCTCTCCTCTCTTTTTGTTATTCATTTTTTTTCTATTTAAATAAAAAATAAATTTTTAATTTCGTAAAAAGACCTGAGCCAGGTGTGGAGAAAGATGGCGTTTTAAAAAAAAGAATAATACAAACCATTTTTAAATTTGTTTTCTTTTTTTATTTATTTATTCATTCGTGTGTGTATACGTAGTTTACTTGTTCTTTTCTTTTTTTTTTTTCGGGAAACCTTTTAGACGAATTTCAAAAAAAAATTATCGACAGTGAATTTTCCTTTTTCAGACTCGTTCTGCATATATTATCTTATCAACTTTAAGAAAATTTTCACAGTTTCCTGTGTATATAATTCTTGGGTTTTAATTAATGATTGAGTTAGGTGTGAGTTTTCACGAGGAGGATGTGATGTGATGTGTAACGCGTGACGCGTGAATAGGGTAAATATTTAATTAAACCTCATGCAGGATACGCAAAATCACGTCAACATCGCGAACGTGACAAACAGGGACGATAACGGGAACGCGACGACGATAAAAAACCTGAATAGTAACGCGAGCATTCTTAGTCTCTTGCAAATCATTTGCGGTTCAAATTTAAACCACAAAATTGTTGGCATAGCAACGGGAAATACGAACGCATTAATCGAAAACGCAGTCAAACAATTGTTTCAATTGTCCACGTCAACCTTTAAAGGTTCGGAAAATTCTAGAAACGGTGTTAAAACATGTTCGTGCATCGTTCATCTCGTTTTGTTACAGGTAAGAGACAGAGAGAGAGAACGATTAACGATGTAAAGAGTCGAAGAAGAAAAATGTCGTCTGCTCCTTAATTACTAAAATACAATATGTAAAATTTTGATTAATTTTTGTTTTTTTTTTTTTTTTCCCCACAGGAATTTGCTACTCTCACGAGAGAGCTCAACCAAGCAAGAGAAAGTCTTTTAGAACGAGAGGAAGAAATAGTAGAATTAAAAGCTGAAAGAAATAATACAAGGGTAAGTGTCGAAAAATACTCGTGTATTATTATTATTATTTTTTTTCCCTTTGACGAATCGCGTTCGTGATGAAAAAAAGTCCTTCGGAATAGTTTTGGTGTCGTAATAAGTTTGAATTACGGAAGTGAAAATTCATTCATTTCGTTAATTCGGGAAGCTTTTAATTAAATTTTTTTTTTTTAAACGGCAATAAAAAAAAAATAAACAATTAAAAGTTTTTTTTTTTTTTTTCGAGTAATAAAAAACTAAGAAGCGATTTTTAAATTCGATGTGATTTTTCTCATGGTGAAATACGAGGCGATGGAGAAGGGGGAGGGAGTGGAAGCAAAGGGATGAAAGGAATAATTAGGTAAAAAGAAAGAGGATTATAAGGGAAAATTAATTTCCGCGGAGTTTAGTATATAATATTTTCAAATCGGCCATTGTTTTTTTTATTAGATTTAGTCGTGAATTACGCGGCGTTGTTTATTTTTTTCTGTTAATAAAGAGAAAGCATGAAAAAAAAAAAAAAAAAGAGAGAAAACAAAAAAGTGTTTTGTGTGTTTGACATCTTCTCTCTCTCTTTCTCTCTTTATACTTTCTCCCTTCTTTCTCTTTTCTCCAAAAAAATAATTATAGTAAATTTTTTTCGCCTCAAAACTTTTTGAAAAAACGATTTTGAATTTTTAATAATAATAAAAAAAAAAGATGAAACCTTTTTTTTTTTTCGGAATGAGTTAAAAGAAATGCTGTTGCTTAAAGTGGCAAATAAAAAACAGAAAAGAATATAATTTTTTTCGAGAGAGAGAGTGAGAGAGAGTGAGAGAGAAATGGAGGAAAAAGGGAGCAAATGAAAAAAGTCGTGAATTCTTTACTCATGTTGATGTAACGTTTGTGTTTGTTTTCATGTTACATCAAAAATAACTTGCGGCGATGCGGTTGTTGGTTGTTGTAGTAAGACAAACAAATATCTATGTTTCTTTACATTGCCTCAAAAAAAAAAAAATGACAAATCGGTTTTTTTTTTTTCGTTTTTTCGAAATTAAAAAATGAATTCGCGGGGCAAAATAGCGAGATAGATTTTGAATAATTTTTAATGATAAAAAATAATTTTTTGTTTGTTTTGTTTTTTTTTTTTTAGCTGTTGCTGGAGCATTTGGAAAGCCTTGTGTCTCGTCACGAAAGATCCCTTAGGATGACTGTGGTCAAGCGGCAGGCCGCTGCACAGTCAGGAGTTTCAAGCGAAGTTGAAGTTTTAAAAGCTTTGAAAAGTCTTTTCGAACATCACAAAGCTTTAGATGAAAAGGTACGTACGTGACCTTATACATTATGTAAATTAAATCAAAGATTAAAAAACAAAAACAAAGAGAAGGATAAGACTTGAGAAAGAATTTCCGGAATTGAATTTTCTTTTTCTGTTTTTCTCTCTCTCTCTCTTCTCTCTCCTGTTATTTTTTTAAATTTGATTTTTATTCGTTTCAGGTTGTAGAAACATTTTCCCTTTTTAATTTGCTGACAAAATTTTTCCTATGTTTTTTTTTTTTCTTTATATTTTCCTAGAAAATAAACAAAGAGAGAGACTAAGGGAATCTTCTTCTCCTTTTTTTTTTTTTTTATAAATATTAAATTTTTTGTTTTTTTGCGTGTTTTAATATTTTGGCGGAAAGGAAAATGTGGTTTTTCCTTTTCTTTTTTTTTATTTTATTGGAGTCCGAATAAATTTTCCTGCTGCCGTTTAATATTTTTCTTTTTTTTTTTCATACAAAAGAAAAGGGATTTTAAAGATTTTCTATTTTGTTTTGCTGCTTCAGATTGGATGTTGCAATTCGTAGGGTTACATTTTCCTAATTTTCCTCTCTCTCTCTCTCTCTCTCTCTCTCTCTTTTTTTTTTTTTTTAATTGAATTAATTTTTTTAAAAAAATTTTTTTTTGATTTTGTGACGTCAGAAAAAAAAAATTTCAATCATTTTATAAACTATTTGTGTTGTTATCAATTTAAGAATTCATTGAAATTTTTTTCCGTAAAGGAAAATTTATTCGTGAAAAATTTTCTTTTCGTTCATGCATAAATTAAATATATATATATATATATTTATATAAAGTCGAAATGAAAAGTTATTGTTTTTAAAAATGGCTTCCATTTTTTTTTCGTTTCCCTCTTTTTTCTCTCTTCTCCTTCTCTCCTCCCCCCCCCGTTTTTTTTTGAAAATTTTTGCCGTTATTTTCACTTTAAAAGTACTTTGAATTTAAAAAAAAAAAAAAAAAAATCGCCAAGGGAACAAGTATAAAATGTTTTTAAATAATAAAAATAAAAAAAAAAAATTGGTAGGAAAATGTAATTGCTTAGGATTTTATTTAGTGAACCGTTTTTTTTTTTTTTTTAAATTTCTATAATGGAAAAAAAGGAAAAAAAAATCAATTTTTGCCGGGGGTTTTAAAAATTATGCAGTAAATAATATCTATGAATTTTTAGAATTTTCCAATCGGAAAAAAAAATTTTATTTTATTTTATTTACGAGCCTGCAGAGAGGAAAATTTAATGGAAAGTTAGTTTTTTCTTCCTTTTTCTTTCTTCTTTTTTTTTTTAATGCCTAATGCGTTAAATTTATGAAATGAATGACTAATAAAAACGCAATTCTAAGATTTAGATTCTAGTTTTTAATATATATAAATTTTGTTTTTTTTTTAAAAAGGTTCGGGAAAGGCTTCGAGTCGCATTAGAAAGAAATAAAACGTTAGAAGAAGAATTAAACGCAACCAAAGATGAAGTAAGTGAAAAAGTTAAATATAAATTTATTCTGTAAAATTATTAGTTGTCTTTTTTGCCTCCCATAATTTGTTTGTTTTTTTGTTTAAAGTTACAACAGTATGTTATGGGAAGGTCGGGTCATGGTGAAGATGAAAAACCCAAAGAAAATGGACAAAGTGAAACGTCGTCGTCGTACGATGAAGATCACAAACCGGTGGAAAGTTCAACACCTCACGTTAACTTAAATAAAGTATGTATTTTTCGAAAAAGTATTAAAACATTTGTTTTCGATCACTTTCACTTTCTCTGTTGTTGTTGTTGTTGTTGTTGTGTTTTCCCCTCCCCTCCCCTCTTCTTCTTCTTCTTCTTCTTCTTCTTCTCACGGATAATTATCGGAAATAATTGATCGTAAAAAAATCATTGGTGATGTTAGGATGAACGGTAATATTAAAAAAATGGTAGTAAATGTATATTGTCAAAGTGATTGAGTTGAGTAAGCAGCACCTCGTACGAGCTTTTCCGCTTTTCCGCTTTTCCGCTTTTCCTTACGCATCCCTGAAAATTTTGCTTATTATTAATTTGCTTTTATTCTTATCAATGCAAAGTCCTATTTAATTTTTGCACGTTGAGCTTTTCTCTTTATTTCTTCCTTCCCCTTCTCACGCAATTTTTTTTTCATTCACGCATTTATTATTATTATTATTTTGCTCCACCCGCGAAATCTTTTTAATTTCCCGTTCGATTCGTGGCTTAAAAAAAAGGACTTTATATATACAGAACGCGATTGAAAATTAAATATAATTAATTAATTGATTATTTTCGAGTTGTTTTCTTTTTTTGGTTCGGTTGTTTTTTCATATGGAAGGAAAACAAATTTCTATTGGTGGAAACCATATAATAAAAATTCATTAAATTATTAGAAATAAACACGAAATAACTTTTCTATTTTGATAGAGGGCGACGGAAACTTGTGGGGCGTCCGCTCCACCCGCTGGCATTTTGTGAAAATTTGAAATTTCTTTTGATTCTTTCCCCCCCCCTCCCGGTTTCGTGAAAATGGAGTGCGAAGAAAAGGGAGAAAATGGAGTCTTTTATTATTATTATTATTATTATTATTATTATTATTATTATTATTATTATTATTATTATTATTATTATTATTATTATTTCGCTACGTAGTACATTTTAAACAACCACTCACTCTGTTTGTAATTTTTATTTAGTTTATATATTTTTATTAGATGACGATGACAACGACGACGAGTACATTGTTTCAAAACAATTATTTCACGCGAAAATATGCCTTTTAAAAAAATTTTTTTCTTTCGATTGATTTTATAAAAAAAAAAAAAAAAAAAATTGTAGATTTTTATTTTTAAAAAAATCTTAAAAACCTGTTGCAATAACTATTTTAAGAATTGAATAAAAAAAAAAAGGGTAGACATTGTTGTTGTAATAAAACTACATTTGTATGTTTGTCCACAACCCGGCGAACTTTTTCCCTTTTTTTTTTTCTTTTAAAGAAAATAACTTTTCTTTTTTTATCATAAGGAAAGGATTTGGATAAAAATAATGTTGTTTCGTTTATTTGCATTTTTATGATGGAAAGTTTTATCATTTTCGTACGCCATTATTTACTCTCAGGTTTAAAGGAAAAATTTTATTTCAAGTGATTTGGGTTGAATTTTTTTTTTTGGGATATTTCGGTGTATTTTATTTTTTTATTTTTTTTCTCACTCTTATTTTTTACCGTTTAGTCTCTTTCTATCGCTTTCACCCTGTGAGTGTGTTTTGTGTATTATGTTTTTTTTTTTTTTTTTTTTCTAAATTTTTATAGTTTTTATATTATTAGTTCAATTTATCGTCCTACTCCCCCCATTTATTTTTTTTTGGTTCATTTACCATTATTATTATTATTTATTATTTTTATTTGTTTAATTATTTATTGTATAAAGTAGTGGAATGATTGTTATTTTATTAATGGTTCAACAGCAAGGAATGTCCAATGGCACCATCGAGCCTGATTCTGATGTTACAAAAGTTAACGAGCTTCAATCGACAATAGAAAAACAGGTATTGAAAAATGTAATAATTAAAAAAAAATTAATTAATTAATTAACTCTTTCATTCCGAAATTTTCAAAATGATTTTTTTTTTTTTTTTCTTTTTTTTCAAATCAGTTTTTAAAAAAATTAAATTTGTAAAGATAAATTTACATTATTCAAATTATAGAGTACTGAAATTAGCAGTTGGCAAAGGCGAGTCGCCGAATTAACTTCGCGTATAAGCGACCTGGAAGAAACTTTAGCGAAAACACAAAAGGAATTATTGAAATCCCAAGACTCTTGTTCTAAATTGCAAAGAGATCTTAGAGAAAATGCAGCTCAAAAGGAAGATCAAGAAGAAAGGATTAGCACTTTGGAAAAAAGGTACTTGAATGCACAGAGAGAATCGACATCACTTCACGACCTCAATGAAAAATTAGAACAAGAGCTTCAACACAAAGAAGCACAAATGAAGGTGATTACAAAAAGAAAAACGTTAAATTTTATTTTTTTTTTTTTTTGTCAAAGGTCTAAAAATTATTATTATTATTATTTTTTTTGTAAAGCTACAAGAAGATAAAATCAGAGCCATTCAAGAAAAACTAGAACTTTCTGAACAAAAATTAGAACAGTTTTTAAAGTTACCAGACATGGAAGAAGAATTAAAACAAAGAATGGAAGCATTAACTCAGGTATTTAATCCATTACTTCCTCTATAATTATTATTATCGTCAAAGTGAAAGAAAAACTTAACCAAGTCCTAATAAACATAAATAAATTATTTAATAATGAGTAAAATTTTAAATTAATTTTATTCTCAACAGATTCGTAATTGATTGATTGATTGATTGATTGATTGATTGACGTTCCTTTCCCGATCATCCCTGTTTTATTAACCATCACATTTCCAATGTAGAAAATTACCTGAAAAAAAATTTCCCCCTCGTCGGTAAATTATTTATTTTGCGATGCGAAAATTTCATCTTCGCAGTATGAATTTATTTTTTGTATTTTCGTATTAGGCACAAGAAAGACACGGGTCGGCCGAAGATCGTATACAAAGACTAGAAGCTCAGCTGGAAGAGAAAAACGCTGAATTGCTTAGATTAAATCAAAGGTTAAAAATGAACGAAGAGCACAACACGAGGTTGGGAGCGACGGTGGATAAACTTTTATCGGAGTCAAATGATAGGCTTCAGGTTCATTTACAGGAGAGAATGCACGCGTTGGAAGAGAAAAATTCTCTCGCTCAGGAATTGGAAAAAGCTAGGAAAAAAGTAGAAGATTTGCAAAGCGAAAAGGTGCGAAGAATTATAATGCGGAAGCGAGTGTTTAATTTGACGTGCGAACATGTGAATTTATGTCTCTTTTTCATCAGGGTGAAATTTGCAAAGAACTGAGCAAGGCGAGATTAGAAATAGACAATGTTAAAAGGCAAATGCTTCAACAAGAAATCGCTTTCAACATTCAACAAACGGATGCCCTCACTCGAAGCTTATCCCCAAGTGCAAACGATCAAAATTTTGTCAGGAGTTCCAGTCACACGAGTTTCGAATCTCATTCCCTGCGACGGTCTCAAAAGGGAAGACATGGCGTCGTACTGGACGGAGATCCAAATAAAGTTAGTAAAATATGATGATTTTATGAATGATTTTGTGAATGATCGATCAATTATTTTTTTTTTTTTTTTTTTTTTTTTTTATAATAAAAGATTCGAGCACTTGGAGAACAAGAATGGGAAAAAATTCAACAGGCTCACGTGTTGGCTAATGTGCAACAAGCATTTGACGTATCCAGCGATGCCGAAGGAGACGATAATGAGAGTATTTTCAGTGCTGCTGATATTCTTTCACCATCGGGGCATACCGACGCTCAGACTCTTGCTCTCATGTTGCAAGAACAGTTGGATGCCATAAATAATGAAATTAGGTGAGCGATGGAATGACAAAAAAAAAAAAAAAAAATTACGGTCCAACGGTTGAAAATTTTTTATTTATGCGTTTTTTCTTTTTCTGTTGTTGGGTACACAGACTGATTCAAGAAGAAAAGCAAAACACGGAAGCGAGAGCAGAGGAATTGGAGTCACGAGTTGGGAGTCGCGAACACATGAATCTTCTAGTCAGGGGACGAAATTTTGAAAGAACGTCTCCTCCATTATCTGGTCGTTCAACCCCTAAGTCACATCACTCACCCAGCAGGGATTATCTTCATAAATTTCATACGGTAGGTCAATCATTTTAATTTTTTTTTTTTTTTTAAAATGCTTAAATGAGGGATTAATCATGTGTATCATTTAATTTAATATCGTTCAATTGGTTTCCTTTGAATGTTTCTTCCTTTCTATTGGTGTCAAAGGTTACGTTTAATTGTTGTTAAAAATAAGTTTTTTTTTGTGTTATGAAAATTTTTTTAGGCGCCGGCTTCCATGTCTCCGGCGCACCTTCATCAATACACGATCGCATTGAGCCCTGGACAGCTGTCTGAATCCTTACCGTCTAGTCAGGTTCGTTTCAACAATAAAGAAGTTGACAAAATGCTAATTTTTTTTTTTTGGACTTTAAAGTAATTTGGTTTTTTTTTTGCTTAAGCGGTTGTAAAAAAAAAAAAAAAAAATGTGAGCTTTTGTAGTGGAAATTTTGTTAACGCTTTGAAAAAAAGTAAAATTCGTATAAATAATAAGACTCGAAATTTCAAGCTTGCTTTTTTTTTTAAATATTTAATTCGTTACGCTGTTGTTCGGCCATTTTGTAAAAAAAAATTTGTAAACTTAAGATCTTCGATATCGATCGATTCGGAAAATCGCATTTATTCGTATTTGTGAGATTTACATCAATAATTTTTTTTTTTTTCCAGTAAAATAATAATAATTATATTATTATTATTATTGAAAAATTATTTGTTACGATTTTATTGTTTTGTGCCTTTTTTTTTTTTTTTTGCTTTTGTGATTTTGTTTTGTTTTTTTTTTTGCAGATTTAATGGGGAAAAATTTGTATTTATCGATCACGATTTATTTTTTTTTTTTTTTTTTGCGCTTTGAAAAGGAATTTGCACAGAATTTGATTGGGGGGCAATATTAAAAAATGTTTAAAATAATTTTTTTTTTTTTTTTTTTTTTTGTCTTTAGATGCAGTTGGCAACAATGTCTAGTGAGCTGTCGAAAGAAGAATTACATTCCGTTTTACAAGGGGACAGTTCAGGCGGTGCTAGCCCTCTTACCGCGAGATCTCTTAAATTAGAAAGAGTTGCTGAAGCTTTGGCCAAAAGTCAGGAAGAATCGAGAAGGTAAATTTTTATTCCACGGCCATTTATATCGATTAATAACAAACATTAACAAAAAGAGAAAAAAAAAAAAGAAAATTAACTAACTTGCATATGTATTTTCACGAGCAGACGAGCTGGAGGTGGTGTCAATTGTTTGACTCCGGTTTTTCCCGCCCAACATGCCATGGGCCCGTTAAGGTTGTTTAATATTTTAATATTGGTGTTGGTTTGCATGTTTTAACTTATTTTTTGTTTAAATTTTTAATTTCCCTTAATACCAAAAAAAAAGAAGAAGAAAGTATAAGAAAAGCTGCTTGTATAAGCTTTTTAGAAAACATAATGCTTTCTTTTATTTCCAATTCGGTCTCTCGTGTGTGTTGTTGTGTGTTTATTCGGTAGTAAGACATTTTTTTTTTTTTTTTTAACAAACGGTTGTGTTGGTAAAGGTTTCCAAAACCTTTTTCAATGTTTGTATGAGAAGGTATTATTTGCGTACGCATTCAAAAAAAAAAAAAAAAAAAAAGGGAACAAAATGAAAATTTTGTGTTGCCGCAATCAATGATTTGTAAATATTTTGTAAAATTTTCGGATGCTTTTTGTTTTGTTTGCTTGATAGTAGTCGTGATGTCTAGCCGTAGTGCCGCAGTTTAGATTAGTAATTTTTTGTTAGGCCTGGTCTTCATAAAAGTACTCCATCCCCTATGTCTTCTCGTCACAGCAGTCAAGATTCCCTGCACAAGCATTTGATTCAAAGCGGTCCCGTTCCCGTCGGCGGTTCCGAAACGGTTTCTTCAGCTGCAGCCGCAGCCGCCGCCGCAGCAGCAGCAGCTGCTGCTCAGAAGAAGAAGGGCATCAAGTCTTCCCTGGGCAGACTTTTTAGCAAAAAAGAAAAGGTTCGTATTAATCATATTAGAAATATACGTAAATGTATTTGGAAAAATTTTTTAAAAATGGAAAATTTATTTTCTTGAAAAATAAATAATTAGGGAAAAGGAAAAGAACAAATACCAAATGTCATGCAAGGTGGAATGCATGAATCCAGTTCCGCTTTATCGACGTCAATGGCCGAAGGAGAAATAAGCGGAATCGATCCTATGGGAATGACGGGTTCGATCGGTTCGAAAAGCGATTTCGACCGTAGGAAAAAGAAAAAGTAATGTTGAACATTAAAGTTTTTGAAATTCCTCTCTCTCTTAATGTTCGCTAACATTAAAATTTTGTTTTTTAGTGACTATTGCACATTCAGGCACGAACTCCTTGCGGAAGCCATGAAAGCCGGAACTCCTTTCGCTCTGTGGAACGGTCCAACGATCGTGGCTTGGTTAGAACTTTGGGTTGGAATGCCAGCGTGGTACGTCGCCGCTTGTCGTGCGAACGTCAAATCGGGTGCTATAATGTCGGCTCTTAGCGACACGGAAATCCAACGGGAAATCGGTATCAGTAATCCGTTGCACAGGTTAAAACTCCGACTCGCTATACAGGAAATGGTCTCGCTAACGAGTCCGTCGGCTCCAAAGACATCACGCACAACCCTCGCATTTGGCGACATGAACCACGAATGGATTGGTAATTATTGGTTACCGAGTTTAGGACTACCTCAGTATAGAACGACTTTTATGGAATGTCTGGTCGATGCCAGAATGTTGGATCATCTGACTAAAAAAGACCTTCGGGGTCAATTGAAAATGGTGGACAGTTTTCACAGGTGAATACTTGCTTTCTTTTTTTTTTTTTTTCACGTGTTCATTTCAAAACTAACAAGTTTATTATTATTATTATTATTATTATTATTATTATTATTATTATTATTATTGTTCAGGACGAGTCTGCAGTTTGGCATATCATGTTTAAAAAGATTAAATTACGACAGGAAGCAATTAGAGAATAGAAGAAAAATAGCGGATAATAGTTTAGTGGATGTTTTGGTTTGGTCGAACGAACGACTTATAAGATGGGTGTCATCCATTGGATTGAAAGAATATGCGAATAATTTAGTCGAGTCCGGAGTTCACGGGGCATTGATTGCTTTAGATGATAGTTTCGATCACAATGCTTTGGCACTCGCATTACAAATACCAAATCAAAATACTCAGGTACGAATTGAGAAAGAGGAGCAGAAGGGGGGGGATGGGAGTCGATAGATAAACATTAAATTTTCATTTTTTTTTTCTCTCAGGCTCGTCAAATGTTAGATTTGGAATTTAACAATCTTTTAACGGTAGCAACGGACCGACAAATCGAAGCGGAAGGACCAAAATCCTGATATTACACGACGAGGCACCCTCATGCATAGGGTCATCCTCCCGGGACGCGATCCTGGGAAGAGACTAATCTCGATTGAAAATGGGATAATGAGTGATGATGCCTTCGTTAACACTTAAAAAAAAAAATTAATAGAAAAATAATAATAATAATTAAAACCCGAGGGGGGGGAGGGGAAGGAAGAAAAAAAAAAGTTTTTAAGTTCAGTCAGGTGAGAAATGTTTTACAGGGTGTCTCAAAAAAAAAATAGTTTTTTTTTTTTAAGGGAAGAAAGAAATGAGAGTCACTTTTCACGTTTTAGATTTTTTTTTTTTCTTTTCTTTACTACTAGTTAATAAAACGACGACATTAGAGAGAGAGAGAAAAAGGGAAATAATGTTTAGAATGTTCTTTTTTTATTATTTTTTTTCGTCATGTAAATTTTATACGTACTGCCTCATTCAATGATTTAATTTTTTTTTTTTCAACCATTTACTTTAAATTGTATATTTAGTGTCGAGTGAAAAAAAAAAAAAAAAAAATAGTGCTAATTTTAAAAAAAAAAAAAAACTGAACGATAGTAGGTAAATTGTATATGTAAAAAATAATAATAATAATAAAAATGAAAAATGATGATGATGATGATAAAAAGACTAATTAAAATTTTAAATAAATAAATAAATAATAATTATTAAAGAAAAAAAAAATTTGTTTACATGGATCGTATACCAAAACATCAGAGTGCTTTAAAAAAAATATAAAAAAAAAAAAATTTTTTTTAATTAATTAATTGAATTTAATTAATTTAATTAAAATTTAAAATTAAAATAAAAAAAAAAGAAAAAAAAACAGAAAGAAAAAAAAATTGTATGTAATAATTAATATTAAATAATAAGCAAAAAAAAAAAAAAAATTAATTAATTAATAATAATAATATGATTGATTGTTTGTTAAAATAAATAAATAATAATAATAATAATGATAAAAACTTGTAAAAATTAAATTGAAAAAAAAACTAAAACAAATATGGTAGTAGTGCTTAAAAATAATTTTATTTACGGTGAACAAACACAAAATGTTTTAAATTATTGTCAACTTAACAAACAAACAAACAATGGCGATTTTTGCATGAATTCGATTAAAAATAATAATGATGATGATAAAAATAAAAGGTGGATTTTTTATTTTAAATTAATTAATTGTTGTTGACAATGTATAAAAAAATCTCAGTATAACAAAAAAAATGCAATTTTATATAATAATAATAAAAAAAAAAAAAACACTAATTAGTACGCTCACTAGATTTAGATGCTATTTATATAAATATGTATTTACGTGTTTAACGTATAATTATAATAATAATAATAATAATAATAATAATAATAATAATAATAATAATAATAATAATAATAATTTATGTTTTGTGATGATGATGATGATGATGATACGATTTATATGTATATATATATATAAATATATTAATAAATAAAATAAGTGGAAAAGAAAAAAAGAAAAAATGGTTCGAATGCTGGGAAAATTAATTAATTAAATAATTTTTTGCTGTTATTAATTTTAATTATTTGCTGTTATTAACAAGTACAACTAAAGACATTTGTCACGATTATATTTTTTTTTTTATGTTTTATTTATAAGCTGGCTGGTGGAGTAGATGGAAAAAAAATAATCCGCCCCAAAAATATTTTTTTCTTTTTTTAAAACATTTTTTTAAAAGGCAGTAACTGGAAAAACCCATTTTTTTAAATTTTTGTTCCTGTTGCTGTTGTTTTTTTTTTTTTGTTGAGCGTGTTTATAAAAATCAAATCGAATTGTTTAAACAGTTTACGACAATGTAATAACGTAATTGTATGAACAATAGCAAAATTATATTTTAAAAAAAAAAAACTTTCTTTTTATTTTTTGCTATCGTTTAAGTAACTTTATTGCTTTTAATAGACTTTGCACACGTTATGATTTCGCTTTCACTAGTAATTAATTAATTATTTTTGCTATAACCAAATAATTATTATTAAAAAAAAAAAAAACAAATAATTTGTTCTTATTATTATTATTATTATTATTTATTTTTATTTTAGTTTAATTTTTTTGATTACGTATTAGTGTAATTTTTCTTTCACCCCCTTCCCCCTCTCTTGATAAAATGTTTGTTTGATTTGAAATTTTCTTTTTTTTTTTTTTTTTTTTTTTAATTTTTACTTTCTCATTTTTGTGTGTGTGTGTGTGGGGGTGTGCGTGCGTGAGAAAGTGCGTGAGTGCGTGTGTGTGTATCAGTTGTTATTATTATGTTTTTTTTTTCCGTCTTAGAACATGAATTATCTGCGGCCACCATTTTATTTTTTATTTTATTTTTTATTTTATTTTTTATTTTATGATTATTATTATTATTATTATTATTATTATTATTATTATGTTTTTACCGTCAAGATAAAAGATTATTAATTAATTAATAATTATTATTATTATTTTTACGTTGAACGATGAGAATGAAATTTAAAAAAAAAAAATTTTTTTATTCATTAATTAAATTTTTTGTAATTTATTATTATTATTATTATTATTATTAATAAGAAATTTTTTATGTTTTCTTCGGGGTTTTTCATTCTCATTCGACAACAAATTTTCTTTTTTTTTTTTTTTTAAGTTTAAAAACTTTAATAAATGAATGAATAGTTAAATAATATCAAAAAATCCGCAAAGAAAAAAGATTTTTTTTTTTGTTTAAGTTTATTTATTATTATTAATTATTTACCAGTACAAAATAATTATAATTGTAATTTTTTTTTATTTTTGCTGAATAAAAAAGCAATTGTTTATTTATTATTAATAATTTGTATGTATTTTCAGGGATTCAGGCAGAAAAATTTATTATTATTATTATTATTATTATTATGGTTTTTTTTCGTTCGAGACAAAACAAGAAAAAAAACAAAAATAATTTTTTTTTTCTTAATGCATTCGAATTGACTTTCATTTTTTTTTTTTTTTTTTTACGTTAAAATTAATTGTTTACATTCCCTGAATTTCTTTCAAAGGTTGGCAATATTTTTATTGATTTGTTTAAACTTTTTAATTACGTACGTAAAAAAATTTTTATTTTATTTATAATAATACATTGAAAAATTTAAATTATTACTGTTCAATAAACGTAATCATTGTTTACAAAATGGAGTCGTCGTCGTCGTCGTCGCCATTAGTATGGGATGCCAACCTTTGAAATTTACATTTTCATATCATTGTTGACAATATTAAAAAAATACTTTCAAGTACAAAATTTCGTTTGTTTTTAACCGTTACTTTTTTTTTTTTTTTAGAAAAAAAAAAGTTTTATTTAATATTATTGCTTAATTGCTTTGTATCCATTGATTTATTTTAAATAAATAAAATTAATATAAATAATTCTTGACATTTTTTTCTATTTCGTTACGTAAAAGTTAGGGGGGAGGGGGAAAAAGGGGGGAAAAAAAATTTGAAACGTGTAACGTAAACCAGAAGTTAACCAAAGTTTTGTGTTTTTTTTTTTTTTAAATAACAAATTAATTAATTAATTTTTTTTTATTAATTAACGTAAGTGTCTAGTCAATTTAACGTCATCATCACGTGATTAACATAAATTAAATTTAATTTCGTTAAATTTTTCTGTCTGTTTATCCTGGAAAATACATTTTTTGTAACTATAACTATTATTATTATTGTATTTAATGACTGAACGATTTTTTTTTATTAATTTGTTTTAAAAGAAAGAAAGAGAAAATTTGTAAATGAATATAAATTTATAGATAATGTGAGAGAAAGAGAGAGAGAGAGAGAGAGTGTTATGGGTCAATGTGTGCACATATCATTTAGTCTTTATTTTATTTTGCTTATGCTTATAAAAATTTTTTTATAAAGTGTTGTTAGATTATTATCATTATTATTATGATTTGTTTTGTAAAGTAATATGATAATTACCATAATAATAATGATTATTATTATTATTATTATTATTATTGAATATAATAAGTGTATGTTTGTAATGCAATTGTAATAAAATTGCGTGAAAATTTTTTTGTTTTTTTTTTTCAAACAATTGTATAATTTTCTTATTTTTTTTTTTTTTTTTGTCTTTGATAAGCACAACATTTTTAAAAAATATGTCGTCTGAAATGTAAAAAAAAAATAATAATAATAATTTTGTTTTACAAAAACCTTTTTTTTTGCAACCAATCATTATTGGGATTGTGTTTGTAAATTTTGATAATTAGTTGAAAAAAGAATGGAAAAAATTTTTTTTTTTTTGTTTTTATTTTTTTCTTCTAAAATTAAACAATGTATGTAATTATTATTATTAATATTATTATTATTATTATTATTATTATTATTATTATTATTATTATTATCATTTGTGGTAATTAAAATACATAGACAGAACATTTTATGGGGGATTTATTTTTAAAATGGATTATGACAAAATTAGGTTACCACTAAAAAATGTTTTATGACCCTTTTTTTTTTTTTTTAACAAAAATGTATGGAGTATAAATAATGATGATTAATTTGGGATTGATAACAAATAAAAAAAAAACAAAAAAAAACTTAATAATAATAATAAACATTTAAAAAAAAAAAAAAATTTTGGATTTTTCTTTCAATCAAATCTTTCTCTCTTATATATATAAATTTTTCCCTTCTTTTCTTTATAATTTTTTTGCTGTTGTTTAAAATATTGTTAATTATTATTATTATCACAAATCATAAAAAAAAAAGAAATGTAATTTTGTAACTTTTGTATTGTGATTATTACATTGTTTAAATTTGAAAATGATAAAAATGAATCTGTTAAAGTTTATTAAAAGGTTTTTAGAAAAAGGAATGAAATCATAAATAAAATTAAGAAAGGTCATCATAAAAAAATTTGGCTGATTTCTTAATATTAAATATAAGAATCTCATGTATCAAAATATTGTAGAAAAGAAAAAAAAAAAAGAAAATCTATTTTTAAATAATTTTTCCTTCCTGTTGTTGAGATCTATTTGTGTGCCAATAAAAGCCAGAACTAGATTTTTTTTTTTTTTAAAAAAATAATTGTCATGTTTTTATTATTATTATTATTATTACTGTGAAAGATTTTCCTTTTTTTTTTTTTAAAGAAATTTCTAGTCATGAATAACAGTATTATTCAAATAAATTTTTTTTTATTATTATTTTCTTTTGCGGTCTTTGATTGTGTTTTAGCTAATAGTAGGTTAAATAATAATAATAATAATAATGATGATTGGTTTTGTGTACATTAATATATATCCAACGGTATTATATTATATTTAAGTGACATTAATTGTTTTTTTTTCTTTTTTTTCTTATGTATTTTAAAAACGCACATTTTATTTAAATAATGTATATTTGTGCGTGTGTGTGCGTGCTTTTAACACGTGTAATTAATAGATAGAATTTTTTTTTTAAAAATAATTTTCCAGGATTTTAATTAAATAATTATCATTTTGATAATTTTTTTTTTATGTAAAATATTTATTTATTTATTTATTTATTCAAATCAACCATTAATGAATTATTATTTAATGGATAATAAAATTTTTATTATCTTTTAACGTTAGTTAGGAATTTTTTTGTTTTTAAAAAAAAAAAAATGTATTTAAAAAAAGCACACCACACCTACGTAATTGTTCTTCATCTTTTTATTATTATTATTATTATTATTATTATTATTATTATGAATGCATTATTTGTAAAATCAATCAACAAATTATTTTTTTTAATTTAATTTAATTGTTATTATCAATTACACACAAAAAAAAAATAAGATTATGGAATTAATTGGAATTTAATCATGTTTGAATTTGAATTCATTTTTATCATTTGTTAATTTTTAATTTGCAATTATTTAAATTTGAGGTTTTAGTTATTAATTTAATGTAGTAAATTTATTAAGATATTTTTAAATAAATAATTTATTGATGTATTTTCAGGGAAAAATTGTTTGAATGATGAAGACTGTAAAAAATTGGAAATATGCTCAAATAGCACGTGTCAATGCGATGAAGGTTATGTTGAATACATAGAAAAATGTTTTGCAAGTACGATTATTATTATTATTATATTAATTATGTATGTAAACGATGATGATGATGATAATATTAATAAATAATTTATCGTTTAGTTCGTAAATATGGTCAGCAATGTAATCACGATATACAATGTCAAAGTGAGACCATGATTTGTACAAATGATGAAAATGACGTGCAACAAAAAATGTTTTGTTATTGCGATCCGTGAGTTTTTTTTATTTTAAAATAATTAAATTTAAATTGCATTTATTATTATTATTATTTTAATTTTTTTTAAATGATTTAAAGTTATCATTTGTGGAATTCAACAATTCAATCGTGTTTAGAAATTGGTAACATATCACAAATGGCGGGAAATTTTAGAGAAGTTTACAACGTGACGGGTTTGTTGGAAAAATCCGCTCAGAAAGTGTTTTTGGGTATCGTCATTTCCGGTTTGATTAGCGTTAGTCTTTTACTTTCATTTATTGGCATTTGCTCAGTTTACGGATGTTGTGATAAACATAAAAAAGGAAGGTGAATGTTATGAAAAGTTTTTTTTATAAAAATAATTTTTACAATTATAAATTTGTGATGAAAAGTCATTTTAAATTGATTTATAGGTATGGAGAAGATGATATGGGAAATAATCAAGTGAATGAAGTTGCAATTATTGGATTACCAGAAGGTACTTATGAACAAATTGATATTGATACTGATTTTTCTGCTATGGATATATGATTTAAATGATTGAATGAAAAATTTTAAATGATTAAAAAAAAAAAAAAAAAAAAAATTCCATTTTCTAAATTGAAATTCTTTTAGTTAAGTAATTTTTTATTTTTATAATATTATTTAAAAAATTATTATTTTTTTTTAAATTTTATTATTAGTTTATAATTTTGCTTAAAAGGAACAAAAATATTAATCGAAATTTAATTTTAATATTAAATGCAAAACAAATTTAGGCAATATATTATTAATAAAAAAAAATTGAGTGATATATTTAATTGAAAAACATTCATCCATTTTACTTTCCGTTACAATTTTTTTTCATCCATTTCCGGTTAGTTTCGCGACTAATTATGGATAGCGTTTTAATGGCGGTTGTTATTCCTAGAAGCCAGAAACCAAGTTTATATGCAACCATGCCTTTTTGGGAGGATAATGAAATTCGATTTGACGTTCCTTTCACGTACGAATTCTGTTTTTTATTAAAATTTCTTTTTACAATTTATATAATTTCAATTGTGATGTAATTTTTTTAGACAAATGAAATTACGTACTGCAGAAAAATTAATTGATAAATTAGATTCTGTGGAGGATACTAAAGGAAATGGAGGAGACAAAGGACGACTCATTGTAACAAATTTAAGAATATTGTGGCATTCATTGTCATCTCCAAGAGTCAGTCTGTGTAAGTACCGGTTATTGTACAGTTATTAAAAATTTTAAGTTCTTTTTAAAAAAATCCATAAATCTTTTTAATAAGCAGCTATTGGTCTGAATACTATTTTAAATGCAACTACTAAAAACGTTATTTCAGTGAGTTGAAAATATTAAATTACATTTAGTTTTTATCAATGCAAAGCATTTTATAATTTTTCAATTAATTATTCATTTATACTTGAGTTTTTATTGATGAAACACAACTGCAGCTTTCTGTCTATTCAAGCACAGTTTTTTGATTGTATTAATTAAAAATATGTCGTTTAAATTCATAAATTTATTAGTCGCACTTTGTTGGGCTACAAATTGTTATTTCGTTTTCATATTTGTGCAACGACCACCACAAACATTTATCAAACAGCTTCAAATTGTTTTTATTTTTTAGAAATTGAGGGGACCAGTTGAAGCATTGTACTTACTTACTAAAACTGCAAATAATAAATATGAATTTATTTTCACTAATCTTATGCCTGGTACGACTAGGCTCTTTACTTCTGTTATTGGAGTTCATCGGTTTGTAGCTTTTTTTTCTTTTTTTTATAACATTACAAAATGATTTATTTTTACAAATATGGCTATTAAAATTTTGCATATTCAGGGCATATTTATCATCGAAAATGTACAGAGAGTTAAAATTGAGAGGTGCTATAATTAAACACAAACAACTTCAACTTTTACCACTTGAGCAAATTGTAAGAACCGAGAATGGAGTCTGGAATTTATCAAGTGATCAAGGAAATCTTGGCTCATTTATCATAACTAATATTAGAATCGTTTGGCATGCAGACATGAATGAACATTTTAATATTTCATTACCTTATCTTCAAATTGCATTGGTAATTAATAAAAATTACACATCAACATTAATTCAAGTTTGATTTTATTAGAATTTTATAAAAAAATTTTTTTATAGGTGAAAATAAGGGAATCTAAATTTGGTGTTGCACTCGTTATAGAAAGTGTAGAAACCAGTGGAGGTTATGTAATGGGATTTAAAATTGATCCCCAGGAAAGATTAAAAATGGTTTACAAAGAAATTCTTTCACTTCATACAGTGTATTCAAAATGTCCTATTTTGGGTGTCGAATACACACTAAGCAATGAGGTATGGAATTAATAATTAAATTTTTTTCTTTTTTAACATTTAAAGTTGGTTTAAAAATTTGTGAGAAAGTTATATTTTTATATGTAAAGCATTTAAAAAATTTTTTTTAGGCTATTTTACCAGAAGATCCACCGACATTGCCTGAACCAGAAAAAGAATTGGATTTAAGCTCGGAAATTATATCTAGAGCAATTAATTCGTACATAGCTGATGATGATCCTGAATCCATGCCTCGACCTCCTGTTTATTGTCCCGATTTGGGTTTGGCTGTGGAAGAACTTAAAGAAGGTTTTACAATGCAAGATTTGTGGGAAGTTTTACCCCCTTCTGAATTTGTGCAAAAACAGAATGCCGAGAGGATTGCAAATAACATTCCATAAAATATTTTCATGAAAAAAAAAAAGAAAACGAAGAATCTTCGAAGAAAATTACAATGTAAGTGCACATGTCTTTATTTTTTTTTTTTTCGTTTGTTTTATAAAGTAAAAAAAACATGGGAAAAATATTATTGTGATTCATGGGTTCATTTTTATTCTTTTGTTTAAATAATAATTTTTGCCTTATTTTAACTATTTAAGAAATAAATTATAATTAAAATAAATTAATTTATTTTTTTATAATTTATTCGTTTTAAATTATAAATTTCACATGGTTTTTCTATCTGTGTATCTTTTAGTTATATCTCTTTCTGTCATGGTTAAACATTTTTTTTTCCTTCTCAACTGTATTGCAGTTCCCTTTACATACAAAAGACAATTTTCATTTTCCATAATGGCATCAATCAATCTAGAAAACACATTAATAATAATAATAATTATTACATGGTACACTTTGTCGACACAGTAATTTTTATTGCAGACTTTTAAACTTTTTATAAAATTACCTTTCGTTCTCACCGAGGAATTCTTTTTTAATAATATTTTCAACTTGCGGCCATATAAAAAATAATTTTTGTGCGATGAGATCTTTTTCAGCTTTATATATTCCTCCATCCTTCTGGAAATCAAATGGAAATGAAAGAAAATAAATGTGATTTTATGATAATTTTTTCTAAAACATATTGAATTATTGAAATCAAAATTTTTTATTTATGTTATTTATTTATTTATTTTTAGTCTGAGATGGATGAAAAATACGGTTCGGAATCAAGAAATCAACAATACCTATCCTGATGTGTATGATTATTTATAAATGATCCTTTCATTTTTCAATACCTTAAGCGCTTTTCTAGAACTTTTATTATGGCGCTCATCCAGTTCAGGTAATAAATGACTTGAATTCTTTATCGATTTTGATTTTGTGTGATTTTGAAGGTCATCTGAAAAAAAAAAAAAATATTGATAAAACTTTTTAATAAAATAAATTTTTTTTTGTTTTTTTTTTTTTTTTTTAAAAAATATCAGTGAAATAATAATAACCTTGATTTGAATTTTCAACAGTTACTTTCCACCTTTGTGTGACATTTCCCGATAGTGGTTTCTTCGGTGAAGAATCTTCAATTTGATCGTGTATTATATAATAATCAGAATCAACAATGGTTGAATCAGTTTGGCACAGTGCTGTACGTTTTCCTTCTTTTAAAGGAAAAGATAATTTCATTTCTAAATCAGGAGCGGATTTTGTTAGTTCAACAGTGCCAGCAACGGTAACACTCCATCCAGAATTTTCTAAAAAAAAAATTTTTTTTTTTTCATTTAAAAATTTTCCCATTTAAATTATTATTTTTGAGTGTTGAAAAAAAATCCATTACTTTTTTTTCCTATTTTTGAATCGTTTTTTACTTTAGGCTTGCAAATGATTTCCTTTTTATCATCATCCTCGAAGGGTTTGATGACCCTGGATTTGTTGCGATGATCCGGATTCGATTCATCGATTTCGCTTTCGGTCGAAGTTATCGAAGCATCCGAAGGTAAATCTAAATAAGTAAAAAAAACATTTTTCTTTTTTTAATTATTTGCGATAGTTTTTTTTTTTTTTTTTTAAAATAAATTTTATAATTGGCAAACCTTCCAAAGGTAAAGGTGGCACTCTTGGACTCGGTGGTTCCATGTAATCCGTACTATCCGTACTATCCGATGTTTCTTCGCCATTGTTAACTTTTGGCAGAGATTCGACGGTAGATTTTAATTTTGTGGTTTCATCAGGATGTGGCGAATTAGATGTCGTTAATTCAGGTAAAGAAGATTGTTTTTTTTTTACATCAGTTTTTTTTTTCGTTTCGAGTATCGTATTAGACGAATGAAATCGAATATTTTCATCGATACCCGGCACCGGAGTTTTCCCATTCAAACCTTGATTTTGTTTAATTTTATTATTATTATTATTATTATTATTGTTATTATTTCCGGTTTTCGTATCGATACCACTCTCGGATATTTTCGATGCAGTTTCGGTTGCATCCCTTTCGACGTAATCGTTTTTCAATATTCTTTTCTTTTTATTTCCTCTTTTGTTTTCAACATCCGAACTTTCACTCATTTCTCGTAATTTGTAAAAATTAATCCATCCTTTGGCAAGTCTACGAAAATCTTCTCGATTCATCGCAATCAAAGCATCTCTCCCCTTTGTAGAATTCGAATTTTCCGGTTTCGATGAAAATAAAATTATATTTCGTTCGTTGACTCCTTGAACGTAGGGAGGAAGAGTTTGCAATTGTTTGTCTTTTATTTGAGCTACTATTAAATTAGGCACTTTGGTCACGTTGTAATTTTGATACTCGACATTTTCCAAATTGTTTTCTTTGACGGGTAGTGAGGGACTCGTCGAAGCATCGTTTTTGAATTTGGGTAGTATGGGTTCGACGGTTGTCGTTTTTTCTTCGTTCGACGATAGAGAACTACTTTTTTCCTCGGGAATAACTTCGAAACGTTGTCTGTATTTAGAAACGGGTGATTTTCTCGTTTGATTTAAATACATGATAGATCGATTTTGTTGCGTTTGTCGAACAAAATTGGGTAGAAATCTTGAATTGGAAATCGCGGTCGCCATATTGTCCGTTTGAATTTTTTCATCCGTTTTTTTATCAATTATTCGATTTTGATTTTCCGATGAAAAATTAATATTTTGCGGTTCTTTTAAAATGACGTCATCGTTTTCACGCCTTATTTCTAATATTTCCGTCGTTTCGATTTCGAATCCTTTTTCTTTTTTATTTTTTTTTAAATTCGAATTCGTTTCGCCGTCCGAATCTTTTTCCGATGATGATATCGGTCTGTTATTCACTAAAATGGGAATTTTTGACCATTTACATAATTTTTGTTGTTTCCCTTCGTTTTTCCTGTTGGTATTCAATTTAAAATTTTCATTTTCATCATTCGATTCGTCTTCTTCTTGTTTTTTTTTTAATTTGTCGCGAGTGACGAAAACGTTTTCATTAAAATTTTCTTCATCGGTCAATTTTTTTTTTTTTTTTTTCTTCTTTAATTTATTCGTTTCCGTTTGATCTTCGTTACGTTTTTCTTCTCCATTTTCCTCGTCGCGCGTTTTTTTTTTATTTTTCGCCATTTTTTCCATCGTTTCTCTCCTTTTATTTTTCGCATATTTTTTTCTACGATTTATTTTATTTTCTTTTTTTATTTTCCTTTCTCTCGATTGTTTGTGTTTCGCGCATAAACTTAAATGCCTTTCGAATATTTGATTTTTTATTTTTTCCGGGGGTTGAGGTATTTGTTTGATACCTTCCAACATTTCAACTTCACCACACGGACTTGTAATACTGACAAAAAACGCTTTGCCTTTCGGGAAAACTCTTTTTTTCTCTTTTCTCGTTTCTTGGACCACGTTCACATCTCCTCTCACCGGTTTCGATTCGTTTTTCGTATCGAAATAAAATTTATGAATGTGCGTCGTCGGTTGATCCTCCAAACTGTCGGCTAAACTTTGGCTATCCGAATCCGAATTTTGCATGCTGTTGTCAGCGGAAGAAGTATTAACTAACATTGATAGGGTTCGTGGAAGAGCCGAATAACGGGGTATCATGATGCTTTCGTTCGAGTCGTCAGGTTCGTTACATATGCTCGTTATAACATCGGTTACTTCACAAAAATCTTCATTGCACTCGATCGGTATGCTAAAACCTTTTTCAAAAAAATTATGATTTCGAAGTTGTTGCATCATATACAGTTCATCTTGATTTAATCTGGTCCAAATGTATTGATTATGTTCTTCCACATCAGCATCCTCATCTCCATCTGTTTTGTCCCCTTCTTGCTTCTCATCATTCTCCTCTTTGTCTTTTTCTTCTTCTTCTTCTCCTTTTTCTTTTTCTTCTTCTTCTTCTTTTTCTCCTTCTTTTTCTTTTTCATCATCTTTTTTTTCATCTGTTTCATTTTCATTTTGTTTTTCGGTCATTTCTAAAACATCATCTTGTTTTATAGGACCATGCAATGCTTCGAATTCTCTTTTTGCATCTATTATTTGCCGAGACAAATCATTTTCTTTTTTTTTATTGGTATGAGTGCCACAAAATTTTTTTTCTTTTTTATTATTTTCCGAAGAATGTTGTAAACTTGAGTTTTTGGTATTGTTGCTGTTGTTGTTGTTGTTTTTATTTTCGTAATATTTCGGACAGAATTTTTTATGTTCTTCGCGATGATATCTTTTTTTACTTTTTCTGTTCGAGTTGTGTCTTGGAGTTTCGGGAGAATAATCAGAGGTCGTAGAGTCTTTGGCACTTTTTTTTCCAGCATCCGAAGTAGTCGATATTGAATAATCGCTCGGCGGTGTGCTACCCCTTGTCGAAACAGATCTACAACTAATCGTGCTGTCCTGAGTTGAATAACTTTTTTCACTTACGGTTTGACTTAGAGTCGATTTTCCCGAATAAAATATATCCGTGCTCGTGTCTTTTGAACTCGTTATATCTCTGCACGTGCAAACGATATAATCAGATTCGGATGATAAGTTATCTGAGGATATTTCTCTTTTCGGTAACTGTACCGGAGATGAAGATGCTATCGAATCGCTAGTTCCACTATCTTCATTCGATTCATCTCTACCGGATGGAGTTGTTGAACTCATTTTTTCTTTCAGACACATGCACACTTTAACCGTCGAATTATTTTTCGTATTTTTAACTTTAATTATACTTTTACCTTGGCTATAATAATCAGTCTGCGTTACTCTCTTTGGTGTTTCTATTATTGTTATCGACTCGGTTGTAGTCTTTGAGTCTATTTTAACATCTCTCCCTCTCTCTTCTTGCAGTCTTGTCATTTTAATATTTCCAAGTGAATCCGATTTTCCCAAACCGGTACCCGTTACTTTGGACGGTTTCCTTCGTATCGTTTCTTCGGTTGCCGAGGACGATGTTGACGAGGATGTTGTGGCTTCCGTAGCTTCCGTTTTATTCGCCTCGCTTTCATCCGATGTTTTTTCTTTTAATATATTGTATTTTCTCATCAGTTCTTCCGGCATCGAATACCTTCTGTTAATTAACGGAGATGGAAATTGCAAATAAATTTCTTCTTTCATTTTCGTCTTTGACAAAAACATGTTGTTGTTTTGTTTTATCGGTTTTTGTTGTTCTTGTTGTTGTCGTCTGAAATCAAAACCGTATTAATTCATTTCTTTAAATTTTCACTTGCGTAAAAAACTCATGAAAATTATCTAAATTATATATTTTTATTATTTTAATGGAATATTTTAAAACCAAAATTACGGTAAATGCGTTTTTTTTTTTTTTAAATTTAACCCGTGCAAACCCTTTTTTTAAATTTTAAACCCCCCCACTCCCTCCCCCCCAAAAAAAAAAAATTTATAATGCATGTAAATTTAAAAAAGTTTTAGTTTATTAATTATTTAAACTTTTATTAAGAGTTTGCAAATTAACTTTATTTAACAAAAAAAAAAACAAAAAAAAATTTCGTGACCCAAAAGCTATTCAAAATTTTAATCCGATTGTTGTTGTTGTTGTTGTTGCAAATAAACAAACATTTTAACTCACCCAAATAACAAAAAAAAAAAAAAAAGTAACAAACGAATTTCAAATTTAAACGTTTTATCAATTTTTTGTTGTTGTTGTTGTTGTTATTTCCTGATTAACATTCGTATGCGAAAAAAAAATTTGTTTTTTTTTTTTTTTTATTGGCAGATGTTGGCACGCCTTCTTTTCATACCTTTGTTAACCCAAAAAAAAAAAAATTTTTAACATTTGACAATGATTATATATCGTTATCCCGTACGTAAATTAATTTTCGGGGGAGGGGGAAGGGGGGAGGGGTAAAAAAAAAAAAGTAAATTAGTTTAATATAAATATGACGAGTTTTTTAAATAATAATAGGACAACGGACTCATTAAACTCATCTAATTGATTTATTCAATATGTCTCATCAAATATTTGCGTGGGGGAATTATATTGTAAAGTTTACTAAAAACTTACCGAAAATAAAATAAAACGTATTAAATAAATTAAATTATAATTTTTTTTTTTTTTTTTAAAAAAATATGTTCGAGTACAAATATCGGAAACAACATTAAAAAAAAAAAAAAAAAATTTTTAAGGTACGAATAATAAATAAATGGATGGATGGATGGACGGATGGATAATTTTGTTATTTCCGGTTGAATTTTTTTTTTTTTAACTTTGAAATAAAATGGAGGTTATTAGATGTTTCAGACATTGGCAGACGTGATTTTGTTTTTTAAAAAAAATTTGATAACTTCTTTTTAACGGTAGAAATAATACGGTTATTAAATATTACACACATTTATAAATTTTAATTGCACGTTTCGCAAGGTTATTACGTAAAATTTTAATTTTATTATTATCATTATTATTATTATTATTATCTATAATCATCATCATCACGGTAATCATCGGAAAAGAAAATTACGGTTATAAGCATAATTTTTGGTAATGAAAAACCCGGGGAAAATTTAAATTTTGAATTTCAATGTCAAAACAATTGAAAATTTAACTTTTACGCCTTAGTACCCATTTATTTATTTATTATTTAATATATTTTGTAACTTTTTATTAATTAATAATATATAATAATTAATTTAAAAAAATTAAAGTACAAAGAAAACACGAAAAAATTAAAAAAAAAAAAAAAAAACATGGCGGAATTTATGATTAATGAATTTATAATAATGAATTATTATTATTATTATTTATTTTTTTTTTCGTCCTTTCTTGCGTTTTCTTTTTTTTTTTGGGGGGGGGGTCGAAGAAGGGGGTTCGAGTCAAATTTTTGCTTTTTTATTATTATTATTTAACGTTTTCTTATATGTAATAAAATTTAAATTTATTCATAAATTCAAAAAAAAAAAAAAAAAATGAATTATTTTCAAAAAGGAAATGAAAAACTTAAACCCGCACGTAAAAAAAAAAAAAAAAAAAATTCTTCCCCCTTCACCCCTCACCTCCCTGCTCCCCCCAAACCCTTTTCAAAGTTATATAATTAAAAAAAAAAAGGAAAAATTTATTGTATTTTAATAATACATCACGACGACGACAACAACAACAACCAAAAAACCCGCATAGAAATAATAATAATAATAATAATAAATAGGTATGGTTAGGTACTAAATGTTAAAATTTTTTTAAACTAAATTTTTCACCCCTAACGTTTTATATATATATAAAATTATTTTTATGACGTAAGAAAAAAAATTAATTAAATTAATAGTAATAATAATAATAAATAACTTACTTAAATAAATTGAAATTTTTTTGTATAGGTTGATGAGGCGGCCAAGCATCTTTTAGAGTTTCCAAAACTTCGTATAGAGAAGGTAACAAAATATTTTTTTCATTTTTTTCATCTTTTTTAACCGGCACTAAAATCAAAAACAAAAAACAAACAAATTTTTTTAAACGAAAAAACGTTCGGTCGAACGGTTTTGATCGAACGGTTCGGTTTGGCCGGTCGGTCGGCCGTTTTAATGGTCGGACTAATACGCGGACACTGAAATTAAATTTTTACATTAACATTTTGTGTGTTTCGTGCAAAAATTAAAAATCGATATTTAATCTCTCTCTCTCTCTCTCTCTCTCTCTCTCTTTCTCTCTCTCTCTCTCTCTCTCTTATTTTAAAACTAGAAAGTGAAAAAAAAAAGTTAAAAAAGTTAAAAAGGTTAAAAGTGAGAAATCCTCGTGAACTAGTACCCCATCATATCGGTGTGGGGGAGGGGGCAGTGGGCAGTGGGGGGAAGGGGGGGAGGGAGAAAAACCGTTAAAATACTTACCCCCCGCGGGTGTCAAAAGTAAAGTTTTTAAATTTTTCACGGGTTCTTTCATTCTCCTACGTAAAATTCTCGCTTCGTATCTTTTTTTCAACCAAACATTTTCTTTGATTAATTTTTTTCTATTCTCAACTCTATCCGGAAAAGGTTTCGAAAAGGTTTTATTATCTCTCGTTTTTTTCCCAATTAATTTTTCCATTTCGTCATTTGGTGTTTCCTTCGGTGTGACGTAAGAGTTTTTCTTCTTATCGTCGTTGTCGTCGTTGTGGTTGGGAAAACAAAAAAGGCAAATTGGTTTTTTTTTACCTTTCTGTAACGAGATTAATGATTTTTATATAAAAAAATTTTGTTTTTCCAGGGAGGGGGGGGGGTTTTTCCTAAATTACTTACTCCGGTATGATCATTATTATTATCATTTTCGATACGATTCATTCTACGTTTATATTCACATGGAAATGGATTTAATAATGTTTAATTCCTGAAACGAAAAAAAAAAACCAAATTATTAAAATCGTTAAAGGGATTGTTTAAAGTGGGGAGAAGGAGAGGAGGAAAAGGGGGGGGGGCGGTAATTACAAAGCGAGAAAAAAATGTAAGAAACACGAAATTAACTCCGGTGGGAGGGGAGGTAAGGGTAGGGGGAAACGTTTAAATGTAATAATAATAATAATAAAGTTTTAAAAATATAAGTTAATAACTTTTAAATGTTCTTCGACAGCAACAACAGAATTTTTTACTGTCGTTCGTATTTAATTAAAAAAAAAAAAAAAGGAAAAAACGGTTACACGTACATAATATTTATTTATTTATTAATTAATAACTCGTTAAAAATTATTAATTTTTTTTTTTTTTTATACTGTCGGTGAAGGATAACTTTAGGCGATTTATTAATTTTATTAATTTTAATTTAATTATTATTAACGTTATTAACTGTCCTTTAATTAATTTAAAAAAAAAAAAATAGTTACGTTATTATTATTATTATTATTATTATTATTATTATTATTATTATTATTATTATTATTATTAAATATTTTAAATATTGTGCCAACTCGTGTCAGGGTTTTCCAAAAAAAAAAAAATTTTTGTCGACCTCGGATGAACTTATAAGAATAAGAATAAGAAGGAAAAAAAATTTTTTTTTTGTTCATTTGCAAAGGCCCCCCCTTAAAAAAAAAAAAAAAAAAAAAAAAAAAAAAATTTAATTATTAAATCCGTTAAATTAAATTAAATACGGTTAAATAATAAAAAAAAATTCTTTCTAGAATTTTGTTCTTTTTCGTTTTTTTACTCTAAAAAGCTAAAAAAAAAAAATTCGATTAGCATGTTACGAAGTAATAATTTTCGCGTTTTCTTTTTTCCCTTTTTTTTTTTTTTTTTTTTTTGCCTTTCGCTTTAAATTTTTCTTTTTGTTTTTTTTTTACCGGGGGCCTTGGGAAAACCGAAATTCAAATAGAATAAAGAATAAAAAAAAATGTTTAAACTTTTAAAGCAATAAAAAAAAAAACCGATAAACAATAAAAACAATTTTTTGTACGTAAAGTCGTAAATAACAAAAAAAAATTGACAAACTGTCATTTCGTCACACTCACAATCAATTAATAATTAAAAATAACATATAAAATAATAATAATAATAATAATAATAATAATAAAAACCGTTAAAGTAAATACTCACTCTTAAAGGCATCACGACATATTTATCAAAAAAAATATGTAAAAAACACATTCAAAATAATAATAATAATTTTGGCATTTGTTTAAAAATTGACAATAAAGTAAAAATGGTTGTAAACACTTTATAAAAAACTAAAAACTACAAACGACTACAAACTAAAAAACAAATCGTCCCATTGCCCCAAATCCCTTATTAAAAAAAAAGATAAATGGAACAAATTCTTTTTATTTTTTACTCGCGAGACTATCTATCGATTTATGGTAACCATGAAGAAATAACTAAAAGCAAAAAAGATTTTTTTTTTTTTTTCGTGATAGAAAATGTCGTAGAACTCAAAAAAGAGAAAGAAAAAAAAACTATTAGAAATGTTTAATTTTTTTTTTTTTTTTACAACAAATTTTTGCGCAAACGCGATACATAGATAATTTTTTTTAAATTTTTTTTTTAAATAATGGTTCCTTTCCGGTTTTTAAAAATTAAATTAAAAAAAAAAAAAAAAACGAGCAAGTAAACTTTTTAATAAGAATAAGAAGCAGAAGAGAAATATTTATTTTTGGAATTTAAAAAAAAAAGGAGGGGAATCCCTGCCAATTGTCATTTCCAGAATTCTATTCAAAATATGTAGTGTTCATTTCCTGTTTTTTTTTTTTTTTTTTTTAATAAAAAGGGAAGAAGAAGGGAAGAAAACTTTTTTTTTAAAAACTATTTCTACTCGATAATAATAATAATAATAATGATTAGGTTTTACTTACCCGTTTTAGAAGTTTTAATCCCATTTTTTTGGGAATTTTGTAGCAGGTTATGATGTCCCTTATCCCGGTTCCTTTTCGGTTAAATAATTTGAAAAGAAAATTTGTGTGCGAGTGTGTATTCGACCACAACGTGCGTGTTTAAATAAATTAAATTTTTTTCCTTTTTTTTTTTTTTTTTTTTTTGAAGGAGAAACAAAATCTGACCGCGGTGACCGACCGGCGTTTTACGGTATATGCTTAATAATAATAATAATAATATTCCCTCTGACCATGTACGTCATAATTTTTTTATCGAAAAAAATCAAGAACACATGCCCAATAGAATTTTTTTTTTCTCGAAATTAGTAAGAATTATTTAAAAGAAGAAGGGAAAGAAAGAAAGAAAGAAAGAAAGAGTCACCGCCGCGTTGACCTGTTAAAAACTTTTTTTTTTTTTTCACTACCATTATTATTATTATTATTATTATTAATTTTTTTGTTGTCGAGGCCAGGAAGAGTAGGATGATGTATGATTTTTTTGTAATTAAAATTTGCAATCGAATTTTTTTTGTCTATTAATTTTCTCTCGGGGAAGAAAGAATGAGAGTTTATCGATTGATTTCGTTTAAATATTTATTATTATTATTATTATTATTATTTTGTAATCATGGCGGTTTTCTTAAGAATTTCCTTCTTGTGTCATGTCAGATATAATAAATTTTAAAATCATTTTGCACGTCGATTCGTGTGCACAACAACAAACAATAAAAAGAAAATTTTTTTGTTTTTGTTTGTTGTTGTTGTTGTTTTTGTTTGTAACTGTTTGTTTGTGATTGTTAGGGTTGAGTCGAATTGCAGCCACGTAAAATCGAGTTTTTTTTTATTTTTTTTTTTTATTTATTAATATTCATACGAAATTAGTCATTTTCAAATTAATGGTTCGAAACAATAAAAAAAAAAAGTTCTTAAAAGATTGTTAAAGACATCGGACGATGTAGGAAACGTTAAATGAAAACATAGTTTATGAAAATACCGATAGATGGCAGAGTATGTAAAAAAAAACCGTTGAACGCGTTCCGGAACGTCGCGTGGATTTCCGGTTTTCTTTTTTTGTTTTTTTTTCGTTTCAAACGAATAATTATAAATTGAAATTAATTTAATTTATTTTATTTTATTATTATAAAAATGTCTTTGTTGTCGTAGAGTTAATTATTATAATTTTCGATGATTTATACATTAAAAGTAAGTTTTTAATTTATTTTAACGAAATTTTTCGAGCAGAAGAAAATTTAATTTTCGTTTTTTTAAATTTATCAATGCGAAATGTGTTCGATTAGTCGCTCATTTTTGATTTGTAATGATTTATAGCTGACAATTCTCGTACTTGAAATAAAATTTATCGGTCGGCCATTATTAAATTTTAAAGATTTTACAAAAAAAAAAAAATATTTATTAGCAAAGAAAAGAGAAAATAGGATTCGTAATGGCGGCGTAAAAGCGCTCGTTAATTATTTATTATTAAAAAAATTTTTTTTTTTTTTTCAATTGACTCGAATTTCGTAATTTTAAAAATAAAAAAACTTTTTTTTTTGGGGGGGGGTAATTAATAGGTTTTAAAATTATTTTGGGTAAAATTTTTGCGTCATCGGATGTTTTTCAATCGAATTTATACGAATCTATTAAGTGAAAATAATAATAATAATAATGATAAATGAAATGAAAATAATAATAAAAAAAAAAAAAAAACAAAATGATTTGCGTCACCCCAACTTTAATTTTTTTTTTTTTTTTGTTCGCGTAAAAAAAAACCAGGAAGGAAAATATATGAAAAATTATTAAGGGGAGGGGGGGGGAGAGGGTTCCCTAATTAGGGAAGTAACTTTTGAAAACAAAACAAACCCGGAACATCAAAATGTTTTCCCGTTTTTTTTTTTTTTTTTTTTTTTCGTCGGAAAAAATTATTTTCACGATTCCTAATAATCAATCAATAATTAATTAACATCCCCCCTTTTCCTCTCCCCCCCTCCAAAAACAAAAAATTGTTAATATATAAAAAAAATTTTTTTTACGTTAAATGAAAAAAATGTTTGAAAAAAAATTATTAACGTATTTAACGCGTAAATTTGTTATTTAAAAAGGAAAAAAAAAGACAAATCATTTCCGGTCATATTTTGGCGCGAAATTTTTTTTTTTTTAAAAGTGTATATATATAATATTTTTATTTGTTAAAAGCCCTTTTCCACCCGTATGTTTTTCATTTTAATTTGTTTCATCTTAGATTAAATTTACACATTTTAAATTGTCAGTTTTTTTTTTTTTTTAATTAATTTATTACTTTTTCGAACTTTCAATGAAATTTTTTTTTTTTTTTTTGTTTTTCGAAATCGTTTATTATTATTATTATTATTATTATTATTATTATTATTATTATTATTACTATTATCATTATTATTGAATTTCAAAAAGCGTGTCGAATTGGGGGGAAAAAAAAAAAAAAAGAATTCATTCAATTTTGTAATTTTATTTTTTATTACCTGAAATCATTTGTGTGTTACAACTCGACTAACGAATGTTTTATTATTATTATTATTTATGTTCACTTTCATTTTATATTTGTTTTTGTTTTCACTCGAAAATTTAAATAGGTACACATATATTTTTTTCGAATTTTATTTTAAATGTTAGTAATAATGATAACGACGGTAATAATAATAATAATAAATTTTGATTTAAAAAAAAAGAGAGAGAGAAAAAATGTCGGTGTCGAAATACGTGAAATGATTTCTAATTTCTAATGTGAATTTTTAACGTTTTTCTCTCTCTCTCTCTCTCTCTCTCTCTCTTTCTCTCTCTCTCTGTCTCTCCCCTTTAATTTAACACAAAAAGTTAAAATAATGGATTTCTTATGCATTCGGGTCAGATATTAAATTTTCTTTATTTTTTTTTTGGGGGAGAGGGAATAGGTGAGGTTAGGAGTCGTGCTAACTTTTTGACCTGATTTACTTTTAAAAAAAAAAAAAAAAGTAACACGTTTAAAAATAAAACCTGGTTATTTTAATTATTTTATACTTATTATTGGTCATTTTTTTCGTTACTTTATAATTTTTTATTTATATCGATTATCCCCTACATCCATTTATTATTAACATAATTTTTTTTACAAGTCAATCATTCGCGAATGTTTTTACTTGATAAATTCTATTAAAATCGTTATTTCATCATCATTATTCTTTTTTGTTGTTAAAATTAAAAAAATTCATAGGTTTAAGGGTTGTTTTTTGTTTGAGTATAAATTATAATTATTAGTATACGTGAAAACACGCGTGACATAATTTTAAAGAAATTTTTTACACGATAATGCGTGATATCATGTTCGTAATCGCAAAAAATGAAACAAATAAAGAAAATAGTTAAGGGGGAAAAAATCTGGCACAATCACGGAAAATTACGGTTAAAAAAAAAAAAAAAAAAAAAGAAATATTTCGTACCTGAAAATCAAATTAGGTTCATCGTTATTTTATTATATAAATAAAACTATAAGAAATTTAATTAATTTTCGTCAACGTAATTTTTTATGCATTAATTCTATTAATATTTAAAATCTTTTCATTTATTTTGTATTGGGTGGGGAGGAGGGGGGCAGTCCTAATTGTGTCCATCAATCAAAAACTAATGTTTATACGTATATACAATCGTCGTTTTTATACAATGGGAATAAGTTGTGGTAGTTAGGGGGAGGGGGGTAGATGAGGGAAAAGTTTCCGGATAAACTTCCGCATATTGAAGCTTGATGACCCTTTACGGTTAACCCCATACTCCCCATACGTTTGTTGTAACCCTTTTCCCCTTTAGCTTTTTAAAATTAGAAAAAAAAAAAAAAAAAGTATATTATGAAAACAATTGCTAATATTCGACCTAAATTTTCCGACTGGTTGGCCTTTGTCCGTCTGGCGCAGACTTGCTGGGCAGTCGGTTTGTTGTTGTTGTTGTTGTTCGGACATAAGTAAAAGTAAGTCATAGAGTAAAAGTAACCGAGCCGTGTTAATCAAATACGTTCGTTTATTAAATATTTACCACCTTATATCTACCTACGGGTGAGTTTTTCACATGCCTGTTTTCAAAATCTCCCGGGTGGAAAATTATTCATTTTTACTTTTTTTTTTTTTTTTTAAATATTTTTTTTTTTTTTTTTTTTTTTTTAATAAAATTTCTTTCACGTGTTTTTATTTTCAGTTTTGTTTTTTCTTCAAAAAGGATTTTACAATCGTAAAAGATGAGAGGAGAAGATACCGCCATTCATACTCACGAGGAAATCTTCCTGAGAACTCCATTTCTTCCATTAATAAGGTAAAATTATTTTTTTTTTTATGTTTTTCTTTTTTTTTTTTTTTTTTTTTTTGTCATATTTAAATTTTCGCGGGAAATAATTTTTTTTTTGTAAATTGTCGCACGAGATATCAAATATTTTTATCCCCTTTTCCGGTTTTTCCGAAACGACCTCTAACGATTATTTCCCAAACTATTTGTAAACGATGCAAAGTGTGTTAATCATCAACCTTAAAAAAGTAACACTTTTTGAATTACATTGAATTCGTTGATGATGATGATAATAATAACGGGGATTAAATGTGGGGGGAAAAGGGATGGATTGGGGGGGGGGAATAAGAAACAAAGGATTTTAAACAAAATTCTTCTAAATTCAGAAAAAAAAAATATTGGGATTACGACACCACAACCATTTATATAAAATTAAATTTTAATAATTTAAAATGAAATTGGGGGAGGGGGGGGAAATTTGTTTTCGTTAAAGGTTAAATTGAATTTATATGAATTGATTATTTTATGTGGGCGTTAAAATCAAAATTCAATTATTATTATTATTATTATTATTAACATTATCCCATTTGATTTATTCAAAATCAATTGTTGTTTTTATAACAATAATAAGATATTGAAAAATTGATGACATTAAATGAAAGTCAAAGTCAATTTTAATTTAAATGAATGTAATAGGAAATGAGGAAAATTATTATTATTATGTATATATTTTATCTGTGGAAAATTTTTTTTAAGACGAATATTTCTCATGGAAAAGAGTTTAAAAATTTTAAATGTTTGTTTCTCATGGGTTTTTAGTTTTTGTTTTTTTTTTTTATTTATATGGATAATCATTTTCGTGTGAAGTTGTAAAAACTCGTTTTTATTCACAGATAATTTTGCTATAATTAATTAATTATCATTATCATTTCAAAATTCACACGCACACGCACACACATTTACGTATACAGGAAAATGCGTGGAAAAAAGAAAAAAGTTACTCACTTAAACAAATAATTTGCATTACGTTCGTGATTTTGTATTTTTTTCCCTATTCTTCTATCTAAATTTCTTTTTTTTTTTTTTAAATTATTTTCCCCTCCCCTCCTCCCCCAAAAAAAAAGAAAAAGAAAAATTCCTGTGACTAATTTTCCCGAATGATATCTAACGTAATTATTATAATTAACAATAATTTTTTCTTTTACCAAACCCGAACAACGTGCTTTTTTCATATTTCCCTTTGTTTTCCCCTCCCCCCTTCCCCCCCCCCTCTCGTCCCCCCAACAGCAGAGAAAAACGTTGTTTTTTTTTCATTTATTTATTTTTTACACAAAGGAATTTTTCGAAAAATTTTATTTAACGTGGCATGAAATGTAGTGATTATTGTTAATATCGTTTGGTTCTTCGACTTATTATTTCCGGTTTCGGGTTTTTTTTTTTTTTTTTTTTTGGTTTTTGTGAAAATTACGAGTGGGGGGTGGGAAGGTGGGGAAAGGGATAATTGAACAAGGAAATATTTCCGGGTGCCCCTCCCCCCCTTTTTTTTTTTTTACGATAATTATCAATATATATAAAAATAATGGAAAAAATATTTAAGGGATTCATACACGAGAGGATGGAGTATTGCTGATTTATTTTTACCATGACACTGTCTTAAAGACCTTCAAACTGACCAGAAACTATCTCTCGAGGAAAAAAACGTTCTGTTTCCATAACAAACCCCCCCCCTCCCTCCATTTTATTTTGACCATAAGAAACTCAATATCGTCCGGTTAGTTAAGCCGTAGCTTCGGCCGTTAATGAACGATTAGTGCGCATGCGTTCGATTTTAAAACGGTGGGAAAACACAATAAAATAATTATTTTTCTTATAATAAATGCTGAGGGATTCGCGAATTTACACGGCGAGAATGAATAATGATGGACGATCACCGAATGACAATTCAGGGGACAGAGACGTGGAAGTAGAATTTGAAGTCACTCAAACTTTACCCATCGGATCGTATTTGCGTTCGTATCATTCGCCGTCCATACTTTTGGAATCCTCAAACCCTTACTGGTAAAGTACACGCTCCATATTAATATAATTACATACGAAAAATGGAAGAAATTATTTATTCAAGGTCAAGGGAAAAGAAAGAAACAAACAAACAAACAAACAAACAAACGACAGCAACAACCTCCCCCCCCCCCGCAAATGCCCATACCTTTTTTTTTCGTTTTCTTTTTCATTTTTTTCCCGAACGAACGATTTGAAATTATTTGTTTAAATTTAAAATTTAAAAAAAAAAAAAAAAATGAAGTGAAATAAAGTGTCGATGAATTCAATGTGGCTGCGCGCTGTCTGTTGATATTTTTCTCCCAGTTTTTATTTATTTATTTAATTAATTAATTAATTTTTTTTTTCTCATTTCAATAACAAAAGTTTTGTAATAAATGAAATGCAGGTAAGATTTATTATTATTATTATTATTATCATCATCATTTAATATTTCGCTATGGAATCCGTTTAAAATTTGTTGACGTTAAAATTAACTTTTAAATTACAAAAAGGAAGTTTTCGATGATAAGTGAGTGTTAAGGCCATATTAATTATTTATTTATCACAAATTAAATTTTTTCTTTTTTCTTTTGTACGGCCTTTATTCAAATTATTATCATTATTATTATTATTATTATTATTATTATTATTATTATTATTATTATTATTATTATTATTATTATATTTTTCACTGTTAATGATTTAAAACGATGATGGGGAAAACGTTTGACTTTATTTATTTATTTATTTATTGTTATAGTAAAATTTTGGCTTTGTTTAAATATTTCGAACGAAAAATGGTTATTTTGAATAAAAGAGCGGAATTTTATTTTTAAAAAAATAATAAAACGTGGGATTAGACAATTGTTTGTTGCCGAGCAACCGTTTGAATTAATATATATATATGTATATTACTAATCAATCTTTAGTTGGTAATTTTACAATATATATATATATATAAAAAAATTTTTTTTTTTTTTTTTTTTTGTTGCTTGTTATGGTTTATAAACTTGTTTAAAATCTTTGTTGATTTTTATTTTATTTTTTTTTTGTTGAAATTTTTTAATAATAATAAACAATATTTGTCGTTAATATATTTATAAATATCGTCAAAAAGTATAAATAAAAGAGAGAGAAAAAAAAAAATGGATATTTTCGGTGGATTCGTTGATAATTTTCTTAACGATCCTTTTTTTAAGTGAGTTTTTTATAAACATTTATTTTTCCTTTTTTTTCAAAAGTTGTTTTATTAATTTGTTTGTTTGCTCGTTTGTTTGTTTTAGTACTTCAACACAACACGCATCGATGGGTCCAATGACTAGAATGATGAATTCTCTGGTTTTAGATCCGTTTTCGCCATTTGCATTTACTAAAATTACCACAACACACAGGCCTACAAAAGCACCCAACAGTAATAGAAGAAGTGGACATAAAAACAATTCGAAACCTTCGCCCGTCAAACCCGAGCATAATAATAACACGACTAATGTTAATAATAATAGTTTTCACGGTATTATTATTATTATTATTATTATTATTATTTGTATTTGGTGTTTCGAGTGTGAGAATCGATTATGTAAATAATTTTGTGATTTTAGAATATCCGTATCAAAGCAGAAAAGATGATTCGGATGCAGGTAAAAAATCCGTGACGAACGATCGATGGATTCAATCGTTAAGAAGACGAGATCCGGAAATACAACCAACTCTTCCAGCGATCGGCGTGAGGGGACGACTCTCTCAACCCAATATCGTATCGTCGAGGAAATCCCGGTCCGTTGAAAGGACGTCGAAAACTCCTAAAAATCGACTCATGATGCAAAATCAAAACAACACGATGGGAAGAACGGGAAACGTTAAAAAAATAATACAAGATTTCAATACGATGAACTCACCGGAAGATGGACCCGCGGAAGACGAAAAAGTTTTCAACGGAAACGGTTTCGAAAGTCACCTCGTTGAAATATTAGAAAAAGACATCATTCTGCGAAAGCCAAACGTTAAGTGGAATAGAGTTGCGGGATTGTCGGAGGCAAAAGCACTTTTGCAAGAAGCCATGGTTCTTCCCGTTCTCATGCCAGATTTTTTCAAAGGGATCAGAAGACCGTGGAAAGGTGTGCTCATGGTGGGTCCTCCCGGAACCGGAAAAACGATGCTTGCCAAAGCCGTGGCAACGGAATGCGGCACGACATTTTTCAACGTTTCTTCATCCACGATCACGTCTAAATACCGAGGAGAATCGGAAAAATTAGTGAGATTATTATTCGAAATGGTAAATTTTTATAACTTCCGGTATAATTTTTTAAATAATTTTCATTCGGAGCGGAAACAGAAACAAAAAACAAAAAATTTTTCAGGCACGATTTTATTCTCCGAGTACTATATTCATTGACGAATTAGATGCTCTTTGTTCTCAAAGAGGTACCGATTCCGAACACGAAGCTTCTAGAAGATTCAAAGCAGAGTTATTGATTCAAATGGATGGTCTCACTTCTAATATATCATCAGATGATAAGGTTATCATGGTTTTAGGTGCCACCAATCATCCGTGGGATATAGACGATGCATTCAGGAGAAGATTTGAAAAAAGAGTTTACATTCCCATGCCGGACGGTAAGAAAATAAGTTTTGGGTTGTTGTTGTTGTTGATCAAATTTCCCGGGTTTTGTTTTTGTTTTTGTAAACGTAAATTTTGTTTGTTATTGTTTAGATGAAACACGTTCGGAACTTATAAAACTTTGCCTACAGGGTGTAATAGTAGATCCCGAACTGGAAACAAACGTTATCGCAGACAAATTAAAAGGATACACGGGTTCGGACATAACAAATTTATGCAGGTAATTATTATTAATATTAAATTTACGATAACCGTTATCCGAAAAAATGAGTTAAATAACGATATATACGAATCCAAGGGATGCGGCTTTAATGTCGATGAGAAGGAAAATAACGGGAAGAAGTCCAGAAGAAATAAAACAAATAAAAAAAGAAGATGTGGATTTACCCGTTACAATGGATGATTTTATCGATGCATTAGCCAAGTGTAAACCCAGCGTTTCTCCTTCGGACGTACATAAATATAAATCGTGGATGAAAGAATTCGGATCCTGTTAATTTTTCCATTTTCTTTTTTCTTATTTATTTTATACCATTTAATTATTACTTTAAGTTGTTTAAGGGTTGAACAGTAAAAGTTGAAAAATTTTCCTTTTTTTTTTTTTTTTCTAATTTTTCTACCCTTGAATTCAACGTGTCAGAATTAGTCGTTAATATTACATAATTATTATTATTATTATTATTTAAAAATTGAATTAAGAGAGGGAAAAGGGGAGGGGGAGGGCAGGAGGGGAGAAGAGGGATTTTTATCGTGATAATGAATATTTTGGGGGGCTTGTTTTTTTTATATATAAATATCGACTAAAGCAAAATCACTGCCATTGAACTATAAAATAGTTTTCAGTAGATAAATTTAGTCGGGGGAGGGGAGGGGGGGGACAAAAAATTTTTTTTTATAACCTCAAAGTCAAAAAATTCTGTCAATCAATCGGACGTTAAAATGATTTGACAGAAATTTTTTTTTTTTTTTTCGTTTCGTTTTTGTTTTGTTTTGCTCACAACATTAAAATTTAAAATTTAAAATTTAAAAAAAAAAAATTTGATGAGTTGATTTATTTTTAATGTCCTTGAATTTGTTAGTTTTTTTTTTTTTTTCCTTTTCTCTTGTGTAATATTAATACACACGTTATTATATTAATTATTAATTTTTGTTTTTAATTATTTTAATAAAATTAAATTAATGATTGATTTTAAAAAATTAATTATCGTGCCAAACATGTATAAAAAACGTCAAGAAAAAATTTTATCAGTTTAACGGTTTTTTTATATATAAAATCATTTATTACTAATCAAAAGTTTTTTTGTTGTTGTTTATTTGTGGCTACGATAAATCAAATTTAAACGAAATAAAATAAATTTAATCCAGCTATGAAGAAATTGTTTTCGAGTTTAATTAAAAATAAACGAATAAATAAATTTTCGTTAAATTTTTAATTTTAAATTCGATTAAATATCTTTGTAGAAATATTGAACCACAGAAGAAAAAAAAAAGAAAAGACAAAAAAGAATAAATCATTCTCGATTTTTCGGGGCAAATGCCAATATTTACTTACACGTTGCAAAGAAAGTTATTTTTAATTTTATAAAAAAAAAAAATAAAAATTTTTTTTTGTTCATCTAGTCAATGTTAATCTCTTTTGGCGACAACTACGACGATCATTTTTCCAAAGAGAAATTTGTCGCCGTTACGTAAAAATAAATTTTGAAAAGTTAAAATTGTGATTGTAATCGAACACGACGGTTGCTGCATACATTTTATAATTTTTTTTTTTTTGTTTTTTTTCTAATTTAGAAAATCATTTGAAAAATTGTTTGTTGTAAAAATCGTTTCTTATTTGTTAATAATTAATTATTTCGAATTTATAAGTGTTTTACAACCATATTTAATTTTAATTTCGATATCAATTATTTGTAATTGTGTTGCAGTGTTGTAACGATATTATGATTTATTTACTTTAAATTTTATTAATATTAATATCATTTCGTCGATTTTATTAGTTTTAAGTTATAAAAATAACATTTGTAGTCTTTTCGAACGTAATTCTATCGATTAATTCAATAATTATTGCTATTTTTTTGATTATTTGTTCGGTTCAGTAAAAGATCATCCGTTTGAAAAATTACTATGGTGGAAGATATACATTAAAGTTAAAAAAAATGTCCCAAGTTTGTTTGTATTTTTTTTTCAATAAGTTTATGTATTAATGAAAATATTTTTGGTTGTTGAAAAGAGTATATTATACGATGAACAAACAATAATTTAATAATGACATCATTTAATAAGTTTTAAAAAATTATTATTTTTATGTAAAACAAAGTAGTAGATTAATAATAAAAAAAAGTCAAGATGAATATTATGTTTCGTAAAAATTTTGGAGGAGAGAAGGAAAGAAGTTATGGTAAAGCAGTTGGTCGTTCCAGGAGTAATAAAAGTGTCGGTGGGAAGAGGAATCGGGAATCTGGATATACTGTTATGGAAGAACATCATTATAGGACACACATATTTCTTAGTCCAACTGGTAATTGCCTTCAACAGGTAAAAATTTTTTGTTTTTTTTTTTTTAAATTTTCTTTTAAAAATTAAAAATTTGGGAATTATTTGATTAACAATATACATTCCTTTGATTCATGATGATGAAAAGGATGAATTTGTTGATTAATCTCTTACTAACAATAATAATTAACAATTTTTAAAATTCTTTTGTTTGTTTTAATAATTACAATGTGGTGTTTAATCTTTACTAACAACTTTTACATAAATTTTTTTGGTTGTGGTTGTTGTTGTTGTTGTTTGTGTGAGTTAATGTAAAAAAAAGCACAAAACAAACTAATTTTATTTTTAAAATTTGATATGTTGAAATAAATTTTCATCAAAACACATTATAAAATTTTATATACAAAAACACTTTACAATATTAAACAAAAAAAAAAAAAAAAACGAAAAATTTCAAATCAAAATGATGGAAAAACATTATTTGCTCAATCATTTGTTAAAAACAATTATAAAAACAACGCCATTTTGTTTTATTATTATTATTATTATTATTGTAAAAAACGGTTTTTATTTTTAAAAAATTTTAAACAATTTGCAATATAACAGTAACAAACAAACAAATCGAGAAATTTTGTTTTTATAATTTAATTATCATTTTTTTCTTTTTCGGGAGGGGGGGTAGGGGAGGGTAGGGTAGGGTAGGGGGAGTAAAGGGGAGATTCACATTCGGAATAACTAATAAACTGACATTTTACAAAAAAAAAAATATTTTTAAATCGTCTGATTTAAAATTGGCATCGATTCTCATTATTAAAAGTTGACAATTATTAAAATAAATAAATAAAAAAAATTTTTTTTTTTTTTTTTATTTTTCTCTCCTTGTTTTAAATATTATCATTATCATTTTTGTACGTCTTGTGTTTTTTTATTTTTATTTTATTTTATGTACGATTATTATTATTATTATTATTAATAAACAACGATGAATAATAATAATAACGAGATACGGTCTCGGAATGCATATATAATAATTTTAAATTAATAATAATAATAATAATATTTTTATAACGCGTCATTGAAAATAAAAATTTTATGGGAAACGAAAATAATATTATATATAAATTTATTATTATTATTATTTTTTTTTAAAAAACAGAAACGGAAACGGAAATGCGTTTTAAATAAATGATAATATCAAATTAAATTTTATCATAACGATATGAGATTTTATAAAACAAAACACGCACGCACACACACACACTTACACACATGTATGCCAATCAAAACAAAAAATTATTTTCAAAATTAATTATGTTAATTTAATTTAATTTAAATTAAATTATACTAATTTTTTTTTTCTTTTTTTTGGTTATGAATTTTTTGTGACGTTGACATGTTTTGAATTTTATTAAAACAACAAAAAAAAATTTCTTTTTGATTTTTTGTTGTTGATGTAATATTAAAAAAAAAAAAAAAAAAAAAATATGTATGGCGTTAATAATCACGTGACCCCCCCCCTCATATTTATTTATTTATTATTATTATTATTATATGCGACGTATAAAAAAAAAAAAAAAAAAAAGTTTGATTTTTATTTTTAAATAAAATTACGAATTAAATAATTTATTATCGTTCGTGTGTGTTTTTCGTCCGCCATATTTGTTTTTTAATAAATTTGCCATTTTATCATTTTAAAATATTATTATTATTATTTTTTAATGAATGTAATTTAATTAATTTATTTGTTTAAAAAAAAAAAAAAAAAATTTAAATTTTAAAGTTCGTTAACACGATTTATTTTAAATTCTTTTTTTTTTTTTCTAACGGTCACGTTGAGTTTTTGTTTTTTTACTCTAGGAAATTTTTCAAGTTGAAAAAAAAAAAAAGACGTTTTTTTATGAGATCTAGGGTTCGTACGAGAGAGAACCGGAAACACAGACGTCATCGAATAAACCCGTACAAACAAATTGGATGACCGGAAGTTCAAATAATACGGGACTACGTAGAAGACAAAGTGATAGCATACCTGATACTCCACCGCCAACAAGTAGACAGGTTAGTCACTTCCTCCCTCCCCCCCCCATCTTGGAAAACACCTGGAATGCACGTGTACATTTTTTTTTCTTTTTTTTTTATTTATTATTATTATTATTATCACCACGCGTAAAGGTAGTAAAACTGAAGAAAAAAAAATTCTTTTTAAAATTTATTTTTGGCATCGACGTAAAAAAAAAAAAAAATAGAAAAAATTTATGTATTTCGACCCATTTTTTTTTTTCTTATTTATTTATTTATTTATAAATAATCGACATTTTTTTGATGTTTCGAAAAAAATAAATAAATAATAATAATAATAATAATAATATTGTCAATTTTTTTTTTTTTTTTTCATTTACTAACAAAAAAAAATTTTATTTTAAATTAACTAACATTTTTTAAAAATTAATAAAAATAAATAATAATAATAATAATAATTTTATAATATCCGCACGTGATTAATAAATAATAATAATAATTAATTTTTTAATTAACGTTTATTATAATCGATTTATTAATAAATAAATAAATTTTGTTTTTTTTTTTTGTTTCAGGTAAGTTTTAACAAGGGACAAACGAAAGAAAATAATTTTGGCGGGAATTCTCAAGTACAAAAAACAAATTTCTTCGATGGTTCCGTACGATCTGAACAACCCATATCGTTAGCTACATTAGATAAAGATTGTTTTATCATTCCAGTAGAAAATTTGGAAAGGTTTTTACCCGCTGGAGTACCGGTGAGTTTTCGGTAATATTAATTTGATCAATTTACATTTGTTTCATTTTTTTTTTTTTATTTGTTTTTTTAATGAGAGTTTTCTCTTTTGTCGCATTCAGATGCCGATTTCTAACATGCAAATATCACAATTAAACGTTTTGGAAATAGATAATCCGAAACAATGCGTCATGATACATTTAATGTCGTTGATGGAACCCATCGAACCACTTTTGGAATCTCCATTGGCAAAACCATTTTCAAAACAAAAAGGAGCTGCTAGCGAACTATTGGCAGAAATAGGACAATCGAAAACAGCCGTTGAGGGAATGCTATTGTCGAATATTGAAAAAAACGGTTAATTATTAACATTTGTAAAAAAAAATTCTCTTGTTTGTTGTTTGTTTTGGAACGCAATGCTAATATTATTATTATTAATAATTTTTCCAGCGGAATTTCCGTTTATATCATTTTACGTCGTCAATAAGAATCAACACGATCCCGTTGAATTCTTCCGATCATTAAGACAATCGACATTGCAAAAATTCGATCCGAAGAGTTTAAGGTACATAGCTCATCATACTCTGGACCTTTTTAATGAAGTTGCCACCATTGCTCGTCCTCCACTTCAACCAGGTTTTAGGAGGCCGCAAACGAAAAGTACCGGATTTATTATATCCGTTTATAAAGTGTTCGAAGGTGACGATGGAGAAAAATTTGAAAAAAATTGGCTTTACTGGACGGGTACCTTTTTTAAAAATAAATAATTTATGATGAGGAGGAGGAGGAGTGAGTTTTAATAATTTAAATTGAATTTTTTTTTCTCGTTAAGGAGCAAGAATGCTTTACCGTTACTTACCACAATCTGTTGGATTAAGAAGAATAACTCTTCATAAATCTTTATCAAGCGGTGATAAAATATATTTACTTCTTTGCGAATGTTCTCATTTTATGGAAGATTTGTCAGCGGCGGCTACACTCGTACCAACCTTAAGAGGAAGACTTTGCGGTTATACAGGATTGTACAGGACGACTGCAACCTTTTAATTATGTTTAAGTATTTATATTTATATATAAGGAAAAATCCATCAACAATAATTTTTTATGTAATTCTATAAGAACTGTTTTATCATCTTTGATGACGTAAGTAAATGATTAATTTTTTGTTTTTTTTTGAAATAAAACATTTTATAAAAAGTAAGAAGAAAATCCAATGAATTATTAAATGAAAAAGTAAAAACACTTATTAAAACAATTTAAAAATTTATATTTATTTTTATAAATAAGTTTAAAACATTTTTTCTATAAATATATACATAATTAATTATTAATTATTGTGACAATATCGAATCCTTATCGCTATTTTACTATTAATATTTTTCAATCACAAGTATAAATAATTTAAATTTATTTATAATTTAAAACTTTTCAGAGCTAAAAACTCAACTTTAGGCTTTTTACAAATTATTTTTTGGTAAAAATCACATTTTCTTGAGTTTTTTAAAAAAATAAATGAGTTATAGATATTAATAAATTTTTCTGTCGATTTCGAAAACTGATAATTATTAATATTTTATTATTATCTATTGCATTTAAAATGTTTAAAAGTGTGAACTGTTGTTTTGGAAAAGGTTTTTTGTTTAGTTGATGACACAATCGCTAAAGTATGATTATTCTTTTATATATTATTATAATAATTCGGTACAAAATGGCTGACGAAAAAAAAACAACATTGCAGACTTTTTAAACGAAAAAAATCTTTGACATTTATAACACTAATGTTAAAATATTTTATACAATTTTTCTCAATTGTGTAGTTATACTAAGGTATATTTTATTTTCTTACACCTCTAAACCTTCTTCTCATATCAATCTAAAATAAAAAAAAATTTTTTAAAGCAATTTCATTAGGTGATTTTTTCTTTAAATATAAATTTAAAACTTTACAGACAGATGCTATTATTTTGATACTCACAAGAGATCTTTTACATTCAAAAAAAGCTAATCTTAGGGCAAAACATTCATTAGGTACCATTCCTTCGGGTTCTTTTAAACATTGTCTTGGGGTTTTTTTAAGCTTTACAAAAAAAAAAAAGAAAAGAAAAATTCATAATAAATGAAATATTAAAAAAAAAAAATTGTTGAGGTTATGTGTGAATTTTTTTTTTTTTTATGTGTAAAAATTACCTTTTTGCAACAATCACTTTCTAATAAACATTTTTTTAAATCAGCTCGTTTTTCTCCACATGCTGATTTATCAACTAATTCTCCTTCTTCGTAATATTGCATTTTTGAAATATCGAAAATTTAAGTCCTATACCGTGTATTTATATTTGGTGTTCATTAACGCGACAATTTTCCCTGCATTACTTTGTTATATAACGAACATGAATGTTCAACGAAATTCAAAGATTTGGTTTTTCAAGCTTCATCAATATTCTAGAAAAGGTTTTTTGAAATTTAGGCTAAATCATCATTGGATTAAACCTGCAGGATTTGAAACGGATATAAAAATTTACAACAAAATCAAAAACGAAAAAGTTCCTTTGATTTTATTAAATAAAAATTTTGTCAAATGGTATTTATGTGGACCTACAGTGTACAACAGTTCTCATGTTGGTCATGCAAGGTTAATATAATTTTTTTTTTTTAACCATTAATAAAATTCAATAGAAAATAAATCTTTTCCTTTTTTTTTTTTTTACAATGCAAAAGAATTATCTATCGCAGTTATTGATTTTGTTTTATGTTACTTATTGTATTTTAAAATGTAAGCAATTATTGTTGAGCTATTTTAATTGCAACACAATTTATCATGTGAGCTAATTTTTAAAATCAAGCAGGAAATTTAATTTATATTAATTTAAATTTTTTTAATTAAAAATCATATATTTTATTTTCTTTAAAGTAAGAAATTTACACAATATGAAATTGAAAAATTAATTGCTCTTAAAATTTATGTAATGATTAATAATATTTTTTTTTAGTACATATGTAAGATTTGATATTATCAGAAGAATTCTGGAACAAAACTTTGGCATCAGACCAGTTGTTGCTCTAGGCATCACAGATATAGATGACAAAATAATTAAAAAAGCTAATTTACTTAGTACAAATTTTAAAACATTGGCAAAAAAATATGAATTGGAATTTTTTAAAAATTTGAAGGATTTAAATGTTTTATCTCCGACATTTGTTTTAAGAGTGTCCGATCATATTCCTCATATTATAGATTTCATTTATAAAATAGTAGACAAGAGACAAGCTTATGTTTCTAAAGAAGGTAAGTAAATTTATAACTATTTATTTATCTGTATATTAAACATAAATCATTTTCATTTGTAATTTTTAAAATTTTTTTTTTCAGGATGTGTTTATTTTGATACTGCAAGTTTTGGAAAATATGGAAAACTAAATCCCATTCCTTTAGAAAATTCCGATCCTGTAAGGATTGGTAAAAAATCATACTTGGATTTTACCTTGTGGAAAGCAGCAAAACCTGGTGAGCCATTTTGGGATTCACCATGGGGAAATGGAAGACCTGGATGGCACATTGAGTGTTCAGCCATGGCTAGTGAAATTTTTGGTTCTAAAATGGATTTGCATTCTGGAGGTATTGATCTTAAATTTCCACATCATGAAAATGAAGAAGCTCAAAGTTGTAGTTACCACGATTGTGATCAATGGGTTAATTATTGGCTTCACTCAGGTTTGATACTATTTTATAAATTAAAATATATTAAATTCATTTAATATATAATTTAATAATATATATTTTAATTTTAGGTCAGCTAATGATTGATGATGAAAAAATGTCAAAATCTTTAAATAACTTTATAACAATAGATGAATTTTTAAAAACATATTCATCCGATCATATGCGAATGTTTTGCTTCGAATCTCACTATAGAAATGGTAAGGATAATTGCAACATTGGCTAAAAAAAAATTTAAAAACTGTTTTTTATTAAAATAATAGATGCTAATATTTACATTTTATTGCCACTTACAGCTCTGCATTATTCTTCTGAATCAATGAAAACGGCAGTGTCTACATGTAATCTTTTTTCAGATTTTTTAATGGATGCGAATTCATACATAAAAAGTAATTGGTATAAAGGAAATGTAGAAGAATCGATAATTTTGAAAGTATGACTAACTAAATTGTTTTTTTTTTCTTTCGTTTTTTTTTAACATAAAAAAAATATTATATATAAAAATATTATATAACATAAAAATTAATTTTATGATAAAATTTATATTTTAGGATTTAGAAGAGATGAGTAATGTAATTAAAGATTGTTTAATGGATGATTTTAATACATCTCAATGTCTCATCAGTCTCATGAATTTGACTAAAAATACAGTGAGAATGATGAACGAAGAAGTGACAGTGACCAGTAGCAGATCTCCAGGTGCTGTTGCTGCAGTTAAGACTTATGTCGAAGGACTTTTAAAATCTTTTGGTTTTCAATTAGATACAGCTTTAGTAAGTATACATATATTTAAATCAATAATTATAAATACAAGTTTAGTACAATATACAAATTTATTTCAGGTAATTACATTACATTTTTTTTTAAATCACAAATTATTTATCAAGTGAAAATATTTATTATTGTTTCAGTCTCAAGAAGGAGAAGATGATATTAAAATGGAGTTTATTCTCAACAGTGCAATAAATTTTAGACAGGAAGTGAGAAAAGAAGCACTGGCATTGAAAGACAAGACTTTGAAAGGAAATCTTTTAAAATCTTGCGATTCATTTAGAGAAAATTTAGGAACGGTGGGCATCACGCTGAAAGATCAAGAAAAGAATGCAACCAGTTGGGGAATCAAAACAAAGAAAGAATTAAAACATTGATAATAAGTAAGTCTTTTTTTATATAAATAATTTTCTTTTTCCATCACTTAAAACTAAATTTATAAACTTGATTTCCATTTTGGATTTTAATTTATTCACTCGATAGTTATCATGAAGTGAGCCAGTTGTTTCGGAGGTTTCAAATTTTTAAAATGTGAGTTATGTAATCGGATTGATCCTCTCCAGAGCAACTGGTCTCTTCGTTCCCCATATGCTAGTCTGTAGCAACAGCAAATTTGACTTCGTCGAATGCCTTTCTTGCTTTTTTGAGTTCTTCATTCATTGTTAGTAAATCTTTGACTCTGGCATATTTTCTGGCATCTTTTCTGACTAAAAAAATTATATCTTCTACTTGAACTCTTCCCGTCCTCCCTATTTCCATAGCTTTATGTGTCTGAAATTAAATTGTTTTTTCAATTGCGAATCGGCAACTCATAAAATTCCATTTTTTTTTTTTTAATACTTTACCATTTGAGTTATGAAATCGATAACTAAATCTTCCAACAAGTCAACACTTTCCGTGTAAGGATTTTGATCATCCCCGAATCCGTACATCATGCATCTGAGTTCTTTAGAAAAAATTCTTTTTCTACCCGTTCCCGTTGTTCCCATTTGAATTTCAACTTCAGCATTTTCTTCTCCATCTTCGAGCTGTCATTATTAAAAAAAGGTTATTAATGTGTTAATTCTTTTAAAAGTAATGAATTTAGTTTTTAAAAAAAAAAAAAAAAAGAATAAAAAAAAGAAAAAAATAATAATACATTCACGAGTTGGAAATTTTTTTTAATTTGTCAAGCCCGTTTAAAAACGTTATTTATTACCTGATCATAAGAATCATCGATGGCAGCCATTTTTATGCTAAAATTTGATTGGTTGAAAATTAAATCGACGAATTTCTCCGTTACCTAGTGTCACGATTATAACAATTCAGTAATATTAAGTAGCTGTTGAACAGATGTCTTTTTACAACCAAAAAAAAAAAAAAAAAAGTTAAAGTTAAATGTGTTTTATTATAAGTTTTTTTTAAACAAATTTTTTAATTATATATTTATATATAAAATGTAAAATTATATATATAAATATGTAAAAAAAAAAAAAAAATATAAAAACAATTAAAAAAAAAAATTTGTGCGGCATCAGGTTTTTTTTTTTTTTTTTTTTTCTAAATCACAATCAAGTAAGAAAAATTTTTATTAATGCCTGCGTGTATTCTATTATATATACATAATTTTTTTTTTTTTTTTTCGGTTTTTAATTTTTAACTTTAAACTTATTTTAGATAAGAATGCCAAGTGGTAAACGTAGCGTTGGAAAACCCGGGATAGGAAAATCTCTCGTCGGTGGTGGGAATACCGTTTCGGACGATTACTTAAAGTCAAAGTAAGTGAATATAAATTTTTTCCTGATTAGCAAGTATATACGAATTTGCAATAGCCTTGCATTTTCCATTATCGATCTTTTCAGGTGCGCTATAAATTCAATAAACGATGCATTAGGTTCGAAAATAATTTCACTAAAGCACATTCCGATCCCTCACATACCTCAAGAGAGTACAATTGTATTTGAGTTGTACATGTTCATGTTCACAACGATAGCGTCATTTTTACAATTTTTACACTTGTATAGATCAGTGTGGTGGCTTCCTCAGTCGTATACAAGATACACAATGGTAAAAACCTTAAATATTATTATTATTATTTTTTCGTTTTTGTCTCGAAATTAATTTTTGTTGATCACTATTCGGAATTTCATGGATTTTTTTTTTTTTTTTTTTTTTTTGCAGAATTTTTATTTGATTGATCCATATTTGGTTGGATTTATTGTGACAATATTGGGAAGAAGGCTTGTGTATTCGTTGCTTTGTCAAATTTTATCAAGGTGCACTCCAGCATCACTTTGGCCTTTGCTACAAAAGTTTCTCACATTGATTCTCCTCATCACAGTTTTGACATCTCTTATTTATTGCGCATTTCACATAATGAAAAATCATCCGATTGTTAATATATTTTATTTATGTTACCCGTAAGTAGCTATATTTGTATTATTTTATTTATCATACATAAGTTTTTTATTTATTTATTTATTTTGTTAAAATTTTTTTTTTTTTTATTTCGACAGGATATCAGTTTATTTTATCTTATTCGGACTCAGCGTTGTACCTTTTTTCGATGTTACATCATTTCCTAATCCTAATAAAGAAAACAAAAAGAGTAAATCGATAGTTGGTAAGTTTTTTATTTTCGATTTGTTTTTAAGGGTGTTTACCACATGTTTGAATAATAATAATAATAATAATAATAATGCATAAATGGTTTTTGTAAATTATTTATATTGATTTTTCTTGTTTTCTTTTAGGGAAACCCATTCACAGTTGTTCGATTTCGCCACAGTTTATAAGAAAAGAAGTTGAATCGCTCAAAACGGATTTCAATAGTAGAATGAAACAAGTACTTTTCAGTTCTGTTTTAAGCGCTTATTACTCCGGGTTTGTGCCATGTTGTTTTGCTCAGGTTAGAATTTTTTTAATTTTTAATTGTTTCTTTTCGTTTGCTTTAAATTGTATAATTGTTGGAATTTGATTAATTAACACATTCTTTTTTTGTTTGTTTCATTTGTAGACTTCTCTTTATTACGATACTTATTGGGCCACACAGCATTTAGCTCTTGTATGGTTGGGTTGCTTTACAATGCACAGCGCTTATTGTTATCCACCTTCTTATTGTGATACACTACATAGGGCTGCCTTGCATTTGGGAAAATGGGTTCGAGTGCAAGGAAGGAATCAACACATTCCGACACACGTGTAAGTATTATTATTATTATTATTATTATTATTATGTTCACTATTAAACACGACAAGGCTCTTATTTGTCGGGGTTTTTAAGCATTTATCCCAGGTTTCTACCCGATTCCTTAGGGACAAATACTCGAATTTCGGTGGTGCTATTTATAATATTTTCCGAAGAATGTGGGCCGTCCCACATAGTGCGATTTCCTGGATGGTTTCTTCTTCTTTTAGGTTCTTCATAATCTTCTTTAAATTTCCTTTCATTGAATGTGGCATGGCTCCCAATGCTCCAACGATGACCGGAATCGTTTCTGTTTTTGTTCCCCACATCCTCGTTATTTCAATTTCCAAATTTCTATATTTCAGCCTTTTGTCTGCTTCTTTGGCTGTCTCGTGTTTTTTTCTGCCGGCACGGATACCTCAATTAACTTACACCATTTTTCCGATTGAGTTTGGCAAATTCGGTCAAATTCGGCAGAATTACTTTCTCATAGTTATGGGTCCGCAATGCCTGATCTTGAGCCGCTGTAATAAACGCTTCCGTTTCAATTTTAAGTTTTCCACGCCGTAGCCAATTGTGCGTGCTCTTCTTATTAATATCTTCGGCATTTATTCTTTTTAGGTATTGCCCATGTAATTTTTTCTGTTCCCATTTGCTTATTAATTTCTTCTGAGATTGGGCTTTGCTATTATAAGTTGCAAGTTGCCCCTCTTCCATTATCTCGTTTTCTTCATTTTCTTGAACGATTTGTTTTGCTTTTTTCAAAACTCCTTTTTTTGTAATTTTTTCTTCTGCATGTATAACTTGGGCTAAGATAGGGTCCTCTTGATGGGATTCCATGTATTTTCCCATTCCAATAATGGCATCCCGGTATGCCGCTTCTATTTGTCGTAATCCTCTTACTCCATCTTTCCTGCTGACGTACAATCTATCCACATCAGCTTTTGGATGTAACGCACAATTCATGGTTAATATTTTTCTTGTCCTTCTATCTAGGTGCGTGATTTCTTCTTTCGTCCAGTCTACGAGGCCAAAACTGTATTTTATTACTGGATCTGCTAATGTGCCGCTTGGCGTTTAACTTATTTCTTCCATTCAGTTCCGACTGTAATATAAGCCTCAATCTTTTAAATATTCTTTCTTCAATCGCGGCTTGACCCCAAAATTTTCTTCAATCCCCAGATATTTGTATGTTGATCCAGGGTCCAATTCTTTAATAAGTTCTTCTTCAGCGCCTTCTATATTTTCCTTTTGTTTTAACTTTCCTCTGACAATATTTATTCTGGCACATTTCTCTAAACCAAATTTCATGTTGATGTCAGGGGAAAAAGTTTGTATCGTCCTTAACATTTTCTTCAATTTATTATTATTATTATTATTATTATTATTATTATTATTATTGTTTTTGATTTCCAGATGGGATGAAAGCACACTTTGGAGTCCCGGAGCTTTGGTTAGACATTCGAAGGACTTATACAAGGCGGAGGGAATTGCGACAGCAGCAGAGCCAGGGAACACGATGCACGGGAGATTTTATGTAAGTTTATCATTTATACTTTTAACTCCACGTTTAACTTATCGTTAACTATCAATCATTATTATTTTATTTATTTGTCTTTGTTTTTACATACAAAGGCTTTATTTAACGACCCTTCGGTCCTGATTTGTGCTCTTCTCGGCCTTCAAGCCTCTCTAGTCGCTCTACAGTTGGCCGCTCTCGCTCGTGCATCAGAATGGCATCAAGTCCTTTCCGTGACCCTCCTTCTTTTTGCCAATTATTGTATGCTTTTTAGATTTGCTAGAGATTATCTCGTGTGTTGGAAAGTGTACAAAGCGGAGCAAATGATACAGGAAAAAATGTCGGGTTGATGTTTGTTCGTTTGTTCGTTCGTCTGTTTGTTAGTTCGTTAGTTAGTTCGTTCGATGAATCGTTTCTTTTATAAAATATATAATGAATGGATTTAAATGAAATGACTTTTTTTTTTTTTTAATTTTTTAATTATAGGACGCGAATAGGAAATTTTTAATTGATTGTTTTTGTTTGGTTGTTTTGCAAAAACAAACAAAAACAATCAAAGGTCGTCGTAATTAAGGCCCCTAATATGTAAAATTCATTTTAAATTGTATTTCTTTTTTTTTTTTTTTTTTTGGTATTTGTTTTTTCTTTTCTTTTCTTTTCTTTTTTACTAAATGTACACATATAACAATAACATTATTATTATTATTTTAATCATTTTTTTTTTTTTTTGTACAAGAAATAAAACATTATTAATCATTATCATTTTTTTTTTTTTTTTTTTTAGAATCAAAATTTACAATATTTTCTTCTTTTTCATCTTCTTCTTCTTTTCTTTTTTCTTTTTGTTATTAATTAATTTTATTTTTCTTAAATTCGTTGCTTCAAACTTTTCATCTGGTTTTTTCTTTCTTCCTCCTCCACTTCACCTTAAAAAAAAAAAAAATTGATAGTTAAACGAAATTAAAGTAACAATAGATATCACACAGGAAAATGTAACTAAAAAAAAAAAAATCACGTATTGTATTGAGAGAAAAAGAGAGAGCGAGAAGAGAGAAGAGCAGAAGAGAAGAGAAGAAAAGTAAAGAAGTGAAGAAGAGAAGAAAAGAAGAGAAGAGAAGAGAAGAAAAGAAGAGAAGAGAAGTGAAGAGAAGTGAAGAGAAAAGAAGAGAAGAGAAGAAAAGAAGAGAAGAGAAGAAAAGAAGAGAAGAAAAGAAGAGAGAAGAGAAGAGAAGAGAAGAAAAGAAGAGAGAAGAAAAGTAAAGAGAAGAGAAGAGAAGAAAAGAAAGGAGAAGAAAAGTAAAGAGAAGAGAAGAAAAGTAAAGAGAAGAGAAGAGAGAAGAAAAGTAAAGAGAAGAGAAGAAAAGAAAAGAAGAGAGAAGAGAGAAGAAAAGTAAAGAGAAGAAAAGAAGAGAGAAGAGAAGAAAAGAAGAGAGAAGAGAAGAAAAGAAAAGAGAAAAGAAGAGAAGAAAAGAAGAGAGAAGAGAAGAGAAGAAAAGTGAAGAGAAGAAGAGAAAAGAAGTGAAGAAGAGGAGAGGAGAGGATAGGGAAGAGAGGAGTGGAGAGGATAGGGAAGAGAGGAGAGGAGAGGATAGGGAAGAGAGAGGAGAGGGAAGAGGAAAGAGAGGAGAGGAGAGGATAGGGAAGAGGAAAGAGAGGAGAGGAGGATAGGGAAGAGGGAAGAGAGGAGAGGATAGGGAAGAGAGAAGAGAAGAGAAGAAAAGAAGTGAAGAAGAGAAGAAGAGAAGAGAAGAGAAGAGAAGAAAAGAAGAGAAGAGAAGTGAAGTGAAGAGAAGAAAAGAAGAGAAGAAAAGAAAAGAAAAGAAGAGAGAAGAGAAGAGAAGAAAAGAAGAGAGAAGAGAAGAGAAGAAAAGAAGAGAAGAAAAGTAAAGAAGTGAAGAAGAGAAGAAAAGAAGAGAGAAGAGAAGAGAAGAAAAGAAGAGAAGAAGAGAAAAGAGAAGAAAAGTAAAGAAGTGAAGAAGAGAAGAAGAGAAGAGAAGAAAAGAAGAGAGAAGAGAAGAGAAGAAAAGAAAAGAAGAGAAGAAAAGTAAAGAGAAGAAAAGAAGAGAAGAAAAGAAGAGAGAAGAGAAGAGAAGAAAAGAAGAGAGAAGAGAAGAAAAGTAAAGAAGTGAAGAAGAGAAGAAAAGAAGAGAGAAGAGAAGAGAAGAGAAGAAAAGAAGAGAGAAGAGAAGAGAAGAAAAGAAGAGAGAAGAGAAGAGAAGAAAAGAAGAGAGAAGAGAAGAGAAGAAAAGAAGAGAAGAGAAGAGAAGAAGAGAAGAGAAGAAAAGAAGAGAGAAGAGAAGTAAAGAGAAGAGAAGTAAAGAAGAGAAGAGAAGTGAAGTGAAGAGAAGAAAAGAAGAGAGAAGAGAAGAGAAGAAAAGAAGAGAGAAGAGAAGAGAAGAAAAGAAGTGGGAAGAGAGGAGAGGAGAGGATAGGATAGGGAAGAGGGAAGAGAGGAGAGGAGAGGATAGGGAAGAGGGAAGAGAGGAGAGGAGAGGATAGGGAAGAGGGAAGAGAGGAGAGGATAGGGAAGAGGGAAGAGAGGAGAGGA